AAAATAAAATAAAGTTGGCTCCTTGGTCTTCCAACCAAGTGAGTCCTTTGTGCTTCACTCATGTCTTTGTTTTTCTTTTTGTGTCCAATAAAGAACCCCCATACAAAGATGTCACATCCTGATTTTCGTCTTAGGATTTATAAATTATTTAATAAATTATTATTAGAATTTATATTATATGTTCATTAATTTACAAGTGAAGTTAAATGTGGGAAATAAAATTTCCTAAATATAAAGCATGGATGGATTTAATTTTTATTAAATTCTCCATGGTTAATTATACTCTCTGGAATTTTCTCGGATTTTTCGGAGCTCAATTCCTAATTTTAATCATACAAAGAGCAGTTCAGCAATTATTTAAATAATAAATTAATCCTTAAATGGTCTGATTATAATCTTGTTACGTACTTTGAGTGTCCAATTAGTTTCAGGATTCATGAAATTATTTGAGCATTGGAAGTATTTTTAACAATTTAAAGATCATTTTGGTGATTGATTTATTTGGAAAAGTAATAAAAATCCTCCTCCTCAGCTTGGGCCCTTTTCGGCCCATTCCTTCCTCCCTTCTCTCTGTTCCTCAGCCCAGCGTAAAGTCTAATCTCCTCCCTCTCGCTACAGTGCTTCTCCTACCTCCAGCCGGCTGGACAGAGGCCGTGTTCATCCCGATACCGGCGCCAATCTCCGCCGAATCCGGTCGCTTCGTTGCTTCCCTTCCAAAATTGATTGCAAAAACGGATTCCTCTCTATCTCCTCTATCTTATCCACAAGAAACCCCCATCAAATTCGTTATCTATCTCACGAATTTTGGCCGTTTTTATTCGGGTGAACTCGAGATAAATCCTAATTTCCTTCACCAAATCCATCTGTTCCCGAGGCGATCTCTCCCTCTTCCGACTATAAATAGAATCCCCTCGGCCTCCTCTTCGGTTTCCCCCTGTTTCCCGAAGTTTTCCCTAACCCTAGCCGCCTCCCCACGCTCGTCTTCTCTCTCCGTCGCCGGCAGTCGCTCCAGCCGCCGTTTGCCGTCGCCCTCCTACGCCGCCACCTCCCTCGGCTCCGCAAGGTCGAGCTCTACCCCGTCCACTGGTTTCCCTCTGCCAAATCCCGCCGGAAGCCGCTGTCACCGTGAAGGCCGAGTTCGCCACCCCTGTTTGATCTCCGGCCGAGCCTCCTCGCTGTTGCGGTCGTCACCCGTTCACCCCGAGGCCGTCGTCGGCATCGCAGCACCAAGCCTTAGCCCGTCCACCCCTCCGTTGCCGCCGCTCATCGCCGGAAAGCCGTCGCCATCGTCAACCCAAGGTCGCCGTCCTTCGGAGCTCGTCGCCGGCCATCTCCCTCGCCGTCTGTCGTCGCGTAAGTGGTGGTAAGGGTCGCCTTGATATCCTCTCTCTCTCCCGGTGCCCTCCGTTTGCATCATTGTACCGTGGTTCGCTGGTAACCGCCGTTCTTGTGCTCGCCGGCGTCGATCTGGCGTGGTAGCCATGTCATCGCTGACATCAGCGCTATCTTGGCCATCAAAATCAATATAAATCCTGTTATCCCTTTTCAATAGCATATTAGTTTTTTTTACTATATGTCGTCTACTAAATTCATTCCAATAATTTCCGGAGGATGTTTTAGTCTTTTATCTCAGATATAAATTATTTGTAAATTGTTTAATTAATTTGGAATAGTCTTTTCTTTAATAGGCTTTAATTGGAATTAATCTTGTAAAATTCATAACTAATCCATATGAAATCGGAATGAGGTCGTTCAAGTCTCTAAATTCATCTAAAATCATGATCTACATGTTTGTTTACTTTTTATGTACTGTTTATTTGGTTTTTATTAATCTTTTTCTTTGTTTTGCGTGTTAGCTTGTCGTTTCCGTTGTTGCGAAGGTTCATGAGTGCGTCGGAAGTGTTCAAGAAGACTAATTGAAGACCGATTATTGCAAGGCAAGTCACACAGATCCTAAACAACCCTTTGAGCATTCTGAACCCGTTTAAAGCTAATGTTTTATTTCAATTTATGCATTATTTTAGAATAGCATCGGGTGGTGAGCCTTTCCCAATTAATTAATGGCCGAAGATGACTTTATTTTCCTATGGGTTATAATTTGATTAGCTAGAACCTTATATATTGGTTTGGTTCAGCTAAATGCTATATATATATAATTGCTTAGCCATGCTTAGAAACATTAACTCATTAATGGGATGAATCATATTACATTATTTCTTATGGTTATATTTAATGGTAGCTCACGATGGTCAATCGTGCTATGATAATTAATTAATAACTAAAACCTGATTAATGGTGGGTTGTGAGCATATGGTTTTGAAGGTCGTGGTCATGACAATTAAGGATCGGTTCACAAGCTACTGTTGTGAGACATTAACCGTGCCAACCACAAGCCAGCGTGGGCAATGGCTTTACCTTTTGTATAGCATGGTTCATTACGGGGCACCAGACTGAGAAGCGGCGAGAAGTCCGTGGGGGTCGCTGGGGAGTCCATGCCTCTGTTTTTTTTTTTTGAGGGGGTGATTATGATCCAGGAATGGTGCACTATGGTGAGTTGTGTTGTGCGAGGGGTACTGTCACAGTTCCTTTCCGAGATACCGTGGTGGTATTGAGGCGCATGGTAACATGTCGTGGAGCTGTGTCTTGTGGGTACAGTGGTACACCTCTGGCCAGAGTAAAACTATTCGAATAGCCGTGCCCGCGGTTATGGGCGGGTTAAGCAGTCTTTTTCGTGATTAGTCTCATACCTCTCACAATAATTATTAATGCTATAATTGGTAATAATTTGTTTACCTCCTGGTTTGGAGTTAGATCTGTGCAGCCGGGTTTGGTTGTTCAGAATGGTTGGGCCTGAGCAGCATGGGTGTGCTGTTCAGTGTTGATTAAAATTGATGATTACTCTACTGTTTTACTATTCTTAAATATTTGCTAAATGCTGCTTTTGCAAATGAGCCTATATTATGCCATCCTTTGGTATCCTTGTGCATTTGCATATTTGTTGTGTGGCTTGTTGAGTATGTCATATGCTCACCTTGCAATAATCAATCAACCTCAGTTGAAGAAAAAGGATCCAGAAGGAGAAGACATTTGGCTTATACCCCAGTTGAGCTGCCTGTGGGAGTGGAGCTGAAGCCATCGCTAGACTGTTATTCCGCTGTTGTTTTTCTTTTGGTTTGTAAGTATGTAACGTTATTATTATGATAGATTTGTATATTAAATTATCAGTTTGTGTACCTCGGCTGATTCCTGGACGAGGAATCTATGCACAAATTAGTTCGGAAATTACTAGTGAATTTCTGAGCGTGACAAAAGACAAGTGTGGGGGTGATCTTGCACATCAACGCTATAACCAAAGCAAGATCACCCTAGAAGTGATGAGCCATGACAAACCACACAAGGGGAATTGATGTAGTCAAACCCAATGAGGGGTCAGTTGAACCTCCAGTTCGGCTGAACCACCTCTATCGTGAATCGTCCTCTGTTTTATACAGAGCGCAGGTTTGCACAATTTTTCCTTTGGAAATCCATTCTATCTTGAGTTTAATTTGATTATCAATTCTAAAATATCGAAGATAATTAAACTCAAGCTAGAGATGGTACAATTAGAGTTTATGGTCTCCCTGAAAATAACATGCATGCCTATTATTCTTTGCTCATTACTTGTTGCTTGTGGTGACATATCCAATAGGGACCCCATGTTATCTAGGTAATTAATGAATGAAATATAGTCTGATGATAGAAATCCTGCTCTTCATGTGGCACACTTGGGAATTTTATAAAAAGAAAAAAAAACATATAATGATGCTAAACTCCTCATTGATATTTTTATTCCCACTAGAGCCATAGGTTGATCATTCATGATTAGCTTGCTACATACGCTGCTTGTCATTACATTGAGCGTTGTCAAGTTTTGTGACCCTAGTGAAATGCTTTTCATACTTTCATGGTCAAGATCACATACACTCCAAATACACCCACCAATGCTTGACTTCTACACTGGAAGTTAGCATTGCTCATTTGTCATTCATTTCATCCATAGTCCACAAAATAAATACTCCATGTCATTTATGCATCTTCCTCCAAAGTTCTTTCAAAAAGAGAGATAGAGAGAGAGGCATGGCTATGAAAAAGAAAGAAAAAAATGCTCATACAAGTATGGAGCATGATGATGAAAAAAAAAAGAAAGAAAGAAAAGAAAAAAAAGAGATAGCCATGCATTCTCCCAAATTTCAAAAGAGAATAAATGGAGGAGGAGGTATACAAAAAGGAGTTATTTTTATTTTCCTTTTTCCACTCACAAATTTACCACACACATATACATGCACATTCTTGACTAGAAAGTATGACTAGTATTTCCATGGATCCTTTATTTGACTTTGCAATATATGTGATGCAAGTAATGCTCTTCTCTTTTCCATACTCTGAGCTCCACATAAGCCTTATTAGATGGTAGGAAAAGAAAAGGCACAATCATATGCCTTTGTGGGGAATCATACACCTTGAGTGATCAAGAGAATAAATTGAGGAGCAAACCGAAGTTATAATTTTGTGTTACTTGAGAAAAAACCCCAAGTTGTTCTTCATGAAAAGTTAGGGTGACTTAAGTCAAGATTGTTCCATTTCTCAATTGTTCAAGATTGCATAGTAGACACTACAAAGATCCTCAAGTACAGGTATGACTTTGAATAATTTGTTTGCATGATTGTTAGTAAGGAAGTCATAACTCTATTGTAGAGTCCATAGCCTTCACTCTAGACGAGCAAAGGTTAAGTGTGGGGGTGTTGTTGACGGTCCTTAAATCATAATATCTAACCGTCAATACCTACATATAATGAAATAAAACATGGTATCCAACTTAGTGGTAGGTATTATTACTAATCATTTCCACTAGTGTTGGTGAAATATGTGTATGCAGGTAATTTGAGGAGAAAACACATCCGTCATATGACAAAATGCACCTCCGCGCATTCAGGACGCGTTTACACGGATTAGAGGCCCAATAAGTCAATAAAAACCATTTAGAATTAGGCCAAAACATAGTCCAGGTTGTTGGAGGCCCAATAAGCAACCCCCTGGCCGAAGGAGGGGCCGGGAGGAGAGTTTTTGGGTTCCCCTCACTCTCTACCTTATTCTAATGTACAAAAGATACAATAGAGCCTCTTGTAATTCAGCTCAAAGTTGTGTGTTGTGAAGTGTGAAGGAGAGCTCTATTTATAGCCTCCATATGATGGTTACAGCTATGGGAATTGTCCAAAACGCCCTCAACCGTCATTGGGAAGGCATCAACAACGTACACGTGGAGGGCCAGGATGAGAGGAGGCTGTGGTGGTTCGGCTGAACCCTGGTCCCCGCCTCCTGGCCTCTCCTTTGGTAGGGACACTGACTGGTGGGCCCTGATGACGGTTATGGCAGTTATGGCCTGTTCCATGGAGGTTTCACCTGATTTGTGGGCCCTCCAATCCGTGTGCTCGCGCCTGATTGGCTGGAGGTGTGTTTCTTTGCATGCCGGGTGTGTTTTCTTCTTAAAATCCCTGCATACACATATTTCACCAACACTAGTGGAATTGATTAGTAATAATCCCTACCACTATGTTGGTTTCCACATTTTATTCCATTATATGCAGGCATTGACGGTCAAATATTATGACTTAAGGACCGTCAACACTGTTGCTGTGGAATAGGCAAATGTTGTCCCATGGTTATCTACGGAATCGGCTCAACTATCGGTTGCCTTGGTCTAAACATAGATGCGACTCGGTCCAGAGAGATTCGAACAACCCTACATTCATAACCAGGTATTTAGAAGTGCATTTGTTGTCTTTTAGATTACATATTTACTATATTGCAAATTGATCGTATGCGATAACAAAATTAACTCTAAACGGTAAAATTGAAACCACTTCTACTTGAACAACAACTTGAATAGAAGTATACATGTTTAATAATTTATTCAAATACTTGTTTATTTATCACCAACAAATATAAATTTTGTGGAATTTTAGCTCTCCGTTTTGACCTCCTGAAATTTCAATATAACTTTCAGCCTAACTAATTTCATCTTTTCACCAGATTTAAAATACTTGGAATTTATGTGTGAAACTTTGAAAAATGGAACCTATAAACCAACACCTATCACCACACCATATTCCTGAATTTTTGAACAAGTTTTACCTAGACAAATCGAATTTACCATGAGAGGGAAAGAAAATAAATCCTGGAAATTGAAAGAACGAATCTATACTCAGTTTTTCACCCACCTCTCTCACCCTCATAGACAGCCATGTCTTGGGTCCACTTGTCACTGACCTTGGGTGCCTCTTAAACCCCACAACACACCCATGGGCGTGCTCCCACCTCAGAACTTAAGGGGGGCAGAGAAAACCCCTTCTTCTTCCTCCCCATTCATTTTTTTTCGAAAGGATTCCCTTTCATTTTCACTGCCTGTTCTTTCTTTTCCTCCTCAAGCTGAGTTCACATCTAACTTCTCCTCCCCAAACCCCATCCAATAGCCCAAGATCAATCCATGCATGTTAGACCACAACAATCCCCATCATCCAAGCTTTCCATCCATCCCAACATCTTGCACATGCATGGAGAGTTGAGAGAGATCGAGAAGGAATAAGAGAGTGGTGGTTTCAGCCTACAGGGCAGCAACAGCAGCATTTTGTTTTCCTCCATTTGGTGAGCTTCCTTTTCATCCATGGTGCCTCTTTTGAATTCCCTCCATGTTGAACATCTATAGCATAACGTTGTCCACTGTAGACCCCCGATTTTGGAAATCGGAAATCTTCTGTGTTTATCCGTACCAATCCCTGGATCAGTAGTTGGTACACACATACATAGTTGAATCACAACATATCACGAATGAATTCAGGCTAAAAGAGTTAAATACTTACATTAGGGCCAGGTAGCCCGTCAACTATCAGATAACAGCAGCGGAAGACCAAATAATATAAGGGCCCGGTTAACATGCCACAGGCAGTCGACTGGGGAACGAGACCTAGAACCAGACCGCACTCCGATCATCTTGTTGGATACGCAAGCGTACCGACAAGGGCTTCTCTTCAACACTCTCCTAAAAGATGTATAAATAGCAAGAGTGAGTACCAACCGTACTCAGCAAGCCACCACAACAACAATGCATATGATAGAGGGTATTTCAAGGAATAGCCACGGTTCTTTTGCGCAAAGCAAGTTTTGCAATTCTTTTCATAAGCCTAAGACCTAGCATAGACTGATCAAATTTTAGTACCAGTGTTCACATTAAACAATGACGGTTCTGTCCACCATCCATTGTGATCCCAAGGATAGCTTCCCGCCATTGAGTCGTCATGGTTTTCTGAGGACGTCCACCTTCCCTCCTCTCAGGAAGTGGCTCCATCAGCATAAAAATCATCATGCAATATCCCATCCCACACAAGTTAAGAATTTAGAGTCTAGCCAAGTGTAATACATGTCCCAGTGCTCAATAACCGCGAGCACGGCTATTCGAATAGATTTGGTTTACTCACACTGCAGTGGATGTACACTTTACCCGCACTCCGCGACTACCCAACACATGAGCCTCGTCCCAACACATGAGACGCGTCACGGCAAAGCTTTTCGATAACCTCGCATTGGCAGTACCCGCTCCATGAACTTAAATCCTCATGCACTCTAGGCGTCCATGTTTCTAGCAGTGAGAGGAGTTCTGGCGCTCCCGGGAAAGAGAAGTCTCACACACATATTAAATTATGGTTCAAGTTAAGTTCTCTCTCTCACACACTCATGGCAATCCTACCAATGGCGACACCGATGTAGGGCACGCCTCTCGGCCCTACCTCAACGGCTGTCCCACAGTAGCGCACCTACCTCACTCAGGGGTGAACCATCTATGCAGGGATACTGCCTCCGCTCGGCTATCTAATCCGCTAGGTCTATACCCATTCGAGAAGTACGGTTGTACGGGGGTCGTTTCATGCTTAACTTCATGGCTCGGTCCTTAATTGACCGGGGACAGTACTAGCCTTTTCCAGATACCACCCAAATCCTCCGTCCGCCCCAGTCGAAAACGGTTGTTTAGTTTTATTTCTCCTTTCACAAATCATGTCATCAACATCATGGCAGTGTGGCGCTCATGTCTCCACATGCCGCATCTCAATTACCTTCCCAAAGGTAATTGCCCAAGCATATAGCATTTGATAAATATGGGTATGCATGATTCTAGAATAGCACTTCTAAGCAATTGTCATAATTGACTAGGGACTCATACGTAAACATGGTTACGAAGGAATAAGGGGTAAACAATAATCAAGGCATGGCATAATCACAAGTAGGATGTTCATCATTGCATGCAATTTTATTTGTAAATAAAATAATTTCGCAATTGGGATCAACATGTTCAAAGAATAGTGATGACTTGCCTGCGCATGATAGTCCTTATTCTTGATATAATTATTGTTCAACCTTCACCTCCTGGAAGTTGTAGATGTTGCCTTACAACTGACCGATACACAATTTCTATAATACGCGAGAAAAACCAATATTCAAGCAACATTCAAATATGCACAAACAAAATATATTTGATGAGGTCGAACCTAGGGTTGCTCATTTTATTCGCGCTTGCTGATGGATTCCAACATGCTAAGGGCTAAAGTTTCTTAATCTTTCTGTTGTCATGGTGGTCTATTTAGGAGCTAGCCAACGTAGTATAAATGAGATACATATCTGGCTAATATGTGGTTTAGTCTAGCTAAAGGCTATGGAAGGATTATGGCTACACATGCATCGATCTAAATAAAATGGTCATATACTAGAGGTTCTGTTGTCGTCGGATGGATTTGGGATCAAGCAATTAATCGCAGGGAACCATTTGTATTATTATTTTATTGATGGAGGCTTTGCTTTAATTATGAAAATATTTTACTTGTCACAATAAATTAGAAAAGGTTAATAATTATCCATGCTTTGTATGTTAGAGTTGTTTAGGTTAATCATATTATGGTTACAGATTATCCCATCACATAATTTTACAATGAATAATCCTAATTTACAATTGAACTATAATTATATGAGATCAAGATTTATAACTAGTATTTATCTAATATTCATGTTTGTCATATAGTCCCTCTAATTTAATATATGCAACAAGCAAATTAATACTATACCGTATAGCTATAATGGGATGTACAGTATAGGTGTGTGCACAATATCTTAATATTGAATCATTTATTTGAATAGTTGCTATTTCCTACGAGCTACACAGTACATGTGATTTTAAGTGGATTTATGAGTGAGTTACCGTCTATACAACTTAAGGGTCGATTTCCAACCTACACATATACTACTGTATAGGAAATGCCGTTAATTAATTTCGTGCGGGTGATTTTAGTCACACTAGCTCTGTTATTATCTCTCATAAACAAGTTAAAGACTCATCTATGTGTGTTCAACTTTTAGTCGCAAAGTATGAGGCTAAACATTATTTATACAATTTGGACGTCACGAGTATAATTATATATTGACATATATTAATAAATGGCACTAGTATTTCCTATGCTTTAATTAATTTGAAACAATGCTCCTAATTAGTTTACATAGGTTTTACAGTGAGAAAGCGTGTTAAAGACAATTATTTGACATCTACTTTACAGTACAATATCAATTTTATTTATTAGCACATTTTTAAGTTAACTATTATGCATCATCTTGATATTAATTATTTAATAATTATAAATATATTTTATCAAATAAATAGTGAATTATATACCATTGGAAAGCTTATGAATTTAGATGAATTTAGGTTCAAGTTTCACTCAAATCAGAGCTAAAATGAATAAGTTATGCTAGTGTAAAGATTCAAATTTGAATTAATTCTAATAATTACGAAATGGTACTGTTCCTAATTCATTTATTTATAATACAACCTTATCCACAAGCTATAGTGACTGACAGGTGGGGTCTTCCTATTTCTTTTCTTTTATTTTACTTTTCTTTCTAAAGGAATCCATACGGGCAAATGACAGGTGGGCCTAACTCCTTTGACTAGGGTCAAACCGGCCATTAAACCCGGTAGGGCCCGCTTGTCATAGACTCGAAACTATAAACTCTCCATAACTAGATTTTTAACGACCCGGACCTACATGTAATAGACTTAACTAATAAAGATTAAGAAGGGGATTACTATTTACTAATCACGTGGGGCCCACTCTAACCTCTCTTCTCTATTCTCTTTTCTCTCTCTGCTTTCTCTGTTTTCTCCTCTCTCTCTCTCTCTCACGGCCGAGCGGCGCGGCTACCGGCGACGAAGGGAGGCGGGAGGGCTTACTGGACCGGCGGCGACGGCGGCGAGGACACGGCGGCGGGGTGCGGCGTGGCGGCGGCGAGACGCCGGGGCATGGCAGCGGCGGCGCGGCGGCGGAATGCGGCGTCGGTGGAGGGGAAGAAAGAGCAAAAAGGGGAGAAGATGGGGGGAATGGCGTGGGGAGGGAAGGGAAAGGGGGGGTATTTATAGGGCTCGGGGGAGGGGTGGCCGGCTTTAAACGTCGACGGGATGGCGCGGCGACGCGGGGCTCGGGGCGATGGTGACGCGCGGCGTTGGGATGGCGAGCGCGACGACAACAGTGCGCGGCGCGGGCGGGGCTCGAGGCGGTGATGGCGACGGCGGTGACGCGATAGCGCAGCAGTGGCGCGGGGATCAAGGGTGACGGCGTTGCGATGGAGCGCGGCGCGGCGATAGGACGGCGCTCGGCGCGGCAGTGGCGACGGGACGGCGATGGTGACGGCACGCGGCGCGGTGATGATGACGACGTGATGGCGACGGCGACGTGACGCGCGGAGGGGTGGGGCTCCAGGCGACGCGATCGGAGACGGCGACGGCGCGTGACACGATGGGACGCGAGGGGGCGCGGCAGCGCGCGCAGAGCGAAGCAACGGCGCGCGGCACGTCTGAGCGACGGCGACGGCGACACGATGGGGTGCGGCGGCGCGGGGCGCAAGGCAGCGGCGCGGCAGGGCTAGGCGCGACACGGCAAGGCAGGGCAAGGCTAGGCGCAGCGCGGGCAGGGGGAGGGCGGCGATGGGACAGGGTTGAGCACCTAGGGGGCAATGAACAGTGCTAGCCGATTTATTTGGATTTTATTAGATGTTTTTTCTAATTTAGAAAATGGACTATTGCCACCTATTTTGTTACAATGTGTTTCACACAAAATCTATGTTATTCCATCAAAATTTATATTCAAATTTAATATTGAACATATCCTTATTATTATTATATATTTTTCTGAGTTTTCCTATTTTCTTACTTTTAAGGCTTTGGTTGATTTATAAATTGAGAAAAGTTGCAAATTAATTTTTTATTTACTCCTAAGCATTTGGGTGACCGTATTAAGTGTTCAATGTGAATTTGCCCAAAATTTAATACTGTCCAATATTTAAGGTTTATTAAAGATTCTATAATTTCCTATATTTGGGATTTTGGTATTTATCTGTTTTCACACATATTGGTTTATCTTCTTGGATTGGTTTTACCACCACATGGATTTCTATAATTTAGCATTTGTGATTCAATTCAAATTATATAATATCTAATTATTTTTTCCCAGTAAAACTATTCTATAGATAGAGTTCCATTTATTTGAACGATTATCATTTCCTAAGTGTTTATATTTCATGGCACGCATCACATGTTCAAGTATTTAATATTTGATCCATAAATTAAATTAGTAATTAACCTTCCCTTTTTATGGCTTTGTTTTCTTGTGCGTAAATATTTATAGGGTTCATAATAAATATCTTATTATTATAATTATTACTTAGTTGTATAACTTTAGTTTAATTTTCCATTGTGACAATTTATAGTTTGGCAAGCAAAAGCAACCATAACATCCAGCATGATGCAAAAATTTTAAAAAGTTCAAAATTCTAGTGATTTTGATTGTCTTGAATTTTCAGGGTGTTACATCCACTCCATTGCTGTAGCTAGAAGGTAGCTGCAACTCACCCCGAGTTCATCTCTTTTGATTTCGGTTGAAGCAGCCCTAGGCAACGTCTCTTGCCGTCAGCCCGAGGCCTTGCTCCGTCTCTTGCCATCAGCCCGAGGCCTTAGCCTCGCACAACCCTACGTCCAGGCTGTTGCCATGTGAGCGAAATCCGGTGGAAGTTGGAGAAAAGGGGAGTGAAACTAGAAATCGATTTCTGAGATAGCTATTGAGCTGAATGAGTATGAACTTTAAAAATCCATAACTAATTCATATGAACTCCGAATTCAGTGAACCAAATTCCTATAGATTCATAAAAATGACCAACTTTTGTACTGGTTTTCCCAGTAAAAATATAAATAGCTATATGTCTCCCTTGTGTGGTCTAGCTCTTAATAATTTCGTAAGAAATTATTGGTAAAAGCTAAAATTGCAAACCAATTTTGTTGAGCTTATATTTTAGTAATCTTTGCTATTGTGAAGTTTTTGGTAAAACTACCTCTTAAATCTTGTTTAGGACTTTATTTAGCATTCCCATGATTTTAACTTGTAAAACCCATATATGAATAATGACAACACATATAGCTATGAAATATTTTTTCTTAGAACCTGTGAGTGATGTACTTTACTCTAAAAATAATCATTATTATGAAATCTTGGTTTGAAATGCATGTTTCTTGTAATGTACTAAAGGAAACATTAATATTTACAGAACTGCCATTTTCAGCACCTTAGAGCTTGTCATTTTCATATCTCCCAAACCATAAGTGATAATCTTGTGATTCTTTCATCTAAATTCAAGTTAAAATATGATCTACCCACTGTATTTATTTCATAATTTATTGATCATTTTGCATGTGCATGTTTATTTGGCTCTTATTCGCATATTGCTTCTTTTCGGTAGATTCAGAGAATACGGAGAGTAACGAGCCATATCCAGAGGAGGATAGTGACTACCCTCAGCAGCAAGGCAAGCACCTAAGCATATAGAACCTATGCTTTCTCTAAAAATGATTTGTTTGCAATCTATACGTATATATATATATATATATGCATGCATTGCCTAGATATTAATATTGTCGGTTTATGGTGTATGGGTAGAACCTATTTATGCATTTAGTTCTTGTGATATTGCTATCCTTATACCCTATTACCACTAGTCGGGATTACTTGGGATGTCTTATTCATTAATGCTTAGCCATGCTTAGTGCTAATAGAACTATAGGGATGGACAATGTTGTTAATTGTGGTATATAGACAACTTGCATTATTGGGCATAAAACTTGAGCACTTACACAAAATAATGGTTGATGAAATATGTTGGACTTGGACGGGTGATAGGGCGATGATGGGAGGTTGGTTTCCCCTGATGCAAGTAGCCCCGTCTAGGTCATTAAGGACCGAACATTTTGACTTCTAATCAAGCACCCTACGTACTTACCACATATCTTATTTGGGACCGGCTTGTTCTTACTAGTTCTACTGTGATCATTTATACCACTGTCACATCCTGATTTTTGTTTTAGGATTTATAAATTATTTAATAAATTATTATTAGAATTTATATTAAATGTTCACTAATTTACAAGAAGTTAAATGTGGGAAATAAAATTTCCTAAATATAAAGCATGGCTGGATTTAATTTTTATTAAATTCTCCATGGTTAATTATACTCTCTGGAATTTTCTTGGATTTTTCGGAGCTCAATTCCTAATTTTAATCTTACAAACAACATTTCAGTAATTATCCACATATTAAATTAATCATTAAATGGTCTAATTATAATCTTGTTAAGTACTTCGAGTGTCCAAGTATTTTCAGGATTTTTCTTGAAATTATTTGAGCATTGGAAGTATTTTTAACAATTCAAAGATCATTTCAGTGATTAATTTAATTGGAAAAGTAATTAAAATTCCTCTTTTCCTTTTCGGGCCGAAACAGGAAAAGTTCTATCTTTCTTGGCCCAATCTCCTCTTTTCCTGAAGGTCGTGCTCGCGAACCGGTCCTTAATTGTTATGAGTACGATCTTCAAAACCATGTGCTCACAACCCACCATTGACAAGTTTTAATTATCAATTAATTATCATAACACGATTAACCTTCGTGAGCTACCATTAAATATAACCATAAATAATAATGTAGAATGATCCATCCCATTAATGAGCTAATGTTTCTAAGCATAGCTAAGCAATTATATATATATATATATATATATATATATATATATATATATATATATATATATATATATATATATATATATATATAGCTTTTAGCTGAACCAAACTAATATATAAGGTTCAAACTAATCAATTTGTTATCCAAGGTATCAAGGAATAGGATAATCAATGCAAACTGGCCATAACAAAGGAATAGGTTCACACCACCCGGTGACATTCGAAAAATAAATACACAGTTGAAATAAATAGAGAATTTAAATATAGGATCAACATGGTCAAAGGATTGTGTTTGGGATCTATGTGACTTGCTTTGCAATAATCGGTCTTCAATTAGTCTTCTTGAACACTTCCGACGCACTCACGAACCTTCGCAACGACGAAAACGACAAGCTAACACGCAAAACGAGGAAAAAGACTAATAAAAACCAAATAGATCATGATTTTAGATGAATTTAGAGACTTGAACGGCCTCATTCCGAGTTCATCTGAATTAGTTACGAATTTTACAAGATTAAACTGATTTTAGCCTTATACAGAAAAGGATTAACGATTTATTTCAGAAAAGAAAAGGGCTTTATGACATCATCACCGGAACAAGGCACTGGACCACACGGCCACCGGCGCTAGAGGACTCGGCCGGACCAACCGAGGGCATCTACGCGAAGGGGATGACGAGACAAACTCACCAAGGGGCGGCACGACGACGAACGACGATGGAAGACGACCAGCGACGAGCTCCGAACGGCGGCGAAGTCGGGACGACGACGACGGCGACTTTCCGGCGACGAGCAGCGGCAACGGAGGGGTGGACGGGCTTCTCCTCGGTGCTGCGATGCCGAGGGAGGTGGCGGCACAGGTTGGGGACGAGGCGACTGCTAGGGGCGGCTGGAGCGGCTGCCGGCGGTGGACAGAGAAGACGAACGCGGCGACGACGCTACAAGCGACGGTGGAGAGAGGTAGAGGTGCCAGCCGAAAGAGGAGAGGGAGGGGACTCTATTTATAGCCATGGGAGAGAGATCGATCCAACAACGAGAGAATCGGAGCCGGGATTTTCTAGGGTTTGGTTTGGAGAGATAAACACGAATCGAGCTAGATTCCGCGTTGATTCTTCGGGATAAAGTCCGATTCTTGGGGGAAAGGATAGAGGAGGATAAGAGGAATATTTCCCCTCAACTAATTTTGAAATAACACGAGAGAGGAGACCGGATTTGGAGGGGAAATCGACGGCAATGGCGGCATCGGGCTCTGTCTCCAGCCGGCTGGAGGTTGAAGATGCCACTGTAGCGGCAGGGAGGAAAAGTAGACTCTGTAGATGGTAGATGCACGGGCGTCATGACAGAACACACATTTTCATTGCATGTACCATAGAATCGTAATGTTGGTGTTAGCCTTACAAATATATCATATTAAAAAATATAAACATTATGAGTAGGCTACCAAATCCAATTGTTGAGGCTGTCTGAATCTTATCGTTCTTACTGATCTGTTCACAGTTGTCACGGTCTTTTGGAACATTGATTTCATTTTGGTTAACAGCGGCACGCTTGTTTGTCAACTTGGTATCAATTAGATTAGTTATATCGGCAAAAGGACCTAAGGGAGGTATTTGTAAAATTAGGAGGAAAAAATATCTCAATCAAGCAATGACTATGACTATGTCTGGGTGGATGAAAGTCGGACATGATCTTTTCAACGATCTTGAGGCGGAATCCCTACCATTGTTATCCATTGCAAGTAACTTCTTCATATTTTAAATGCAACTCTACAAAAATCAATTTTTGGTATCAATTAAATCCTCATAAGCTCATAACAAATTCGACTTTTCCTCTCTAACTATAACTGAAATATATAGATTATGATGTGGGGATCATGACGTGAAAGAGCTACCAGAAAGGTAGATGGGTAAACTGCACAGCAGAAAATTAAGACAAAAACATGGTGCATGTACTGAAATGGATTTCTTAATACCATAATATATAGAAGACACTAAGCAATAACAGAGAATCAAATCAACTTCACCATTGCACCTATATGCTTGAATATATGAATGATAAAACCGATCCCAAAAATAAGGAAATAAGAATCAGGGTCATGCGGAGAAGAGACATTTTATTCAGTGCCCCTATTCTGTAATGATTCTTGTTCAGTGCTTCTAAACATAGCTCAATCAGCTATATAGGCACACAATACTCCAAGCAAAAGAGCACATGCCAAAAAAAATAATTTGTCCCCTGTCTACATGAGCAATGCAAATTTCGAAGCTGCCACCACTACAGTTATAAAATAACCAAGCCATTTAAGGACACCAAAGCTACATATCAAATTTATTTGACACAATACTATGGATCAAAAGAGAGTAGTCAAGACCTTCGATCACAAGCGGATCCAAGATACTTAGGTCTGCACAACACCAGAAAGTTAGATGTCCACACAAATACACACATACAGACATGAAACCCCAATCTCACACAAGAAACCCGCAAGAAAAACAGCCTTCACGCTTCAAACTCTCATGAGAGATCTCATTCCCCGCTTGCGCTAGGGACACGAGCTGTGGTTTGCCTTCTGCAACAGCAAAGCTGTGGTTTGTCTACTGCAACAGCAAAAAAATAATCAAAACATGCAGCCACATCCTTTTTAATCAGCAAAAAATAATACATAACTGAATAAAATTGACACAAGAGAAGGTTTGCGTAACTCACCTTGGAGAGACTGGAGAGAAGGTCGATCATGATGGAGAACGATGGTGATGGGCAAGGTAGAATTTTGATTTGTAATAAATTTAGCACATTATCTACCTAAATGAAATGAAACCAAATCAGCGAGAGAGTTTAAAAAATAAATTACCACTGACCTCCTAAATACAGTAATCACACTTACAGCAAAAAAAACTTCATTCAGTTTGGATGTTTCATCAGCAACTTCACAACTCAGACACTACCATAATGAGATGGTTTTAATTTTTCACAAAATGATCTCATCTACAATGTATAGGACACCTGGTCATATGCACGTTAGTAGTACCTCTCCCACAATTCAAGGCAACACCAGAATTGGACAACGATAATTAAAAATTTATGCCTTCATTGGATTGACTCATAGCACATACAAAGGTTAGGCCCTGCAATTTAGTAACAATTGACTGTTGATCATAGAAAGCAATGTCAGAACCTTTTTTTCCAGATGGTCAATTTCAGAAAGACTTCCCCCTTCACAAAATTTCTTTGTTCAGAGATCATAGTACAAAAGTTGAGTGCCTTTAATTAATTGCACAGAAAGGTCCATCTACAACAAAAATGCAGAACAAGGGATAAATGGTAGGATATAGTGTTATACTGACCAGATGTATGTATGATATTTCGTCACAACCTGACCATGTAAGTGGGGTGATAATTCTGCAACCACCATTAAATCTAATTGTCATTGTCATTAAGGTGAGTCAGTGTAGGTGCTGTTTTTACTTGCTAGCAGTATGGTAGAGTATGACTAACATTATGGTTTTTATAGCATGATTGAAAATTGAAATAATTAAATAATGGTGAACTTTTGGGGCTGCATGAATGTCTAGGCTGAACTGAATTTTTGCCTAACTTTTTGGGGGAAAAAAACTAAAGGCATTTGATCGAGCACTACGGGAGCAATGGCACGAAGCAATGTAGTACATGTCAAGAGCGTTGGGCACAGCCGTCCATGGCCTGCCGGCCTGCTCGACCCCTGCCTTGACGTGGTGGGAGGCGACGGTGATTCTCTGTGGCGGCGTGACGGAGATCACACGGCAGGAAGAGTGCGCACGCATAGGGGGGCACGCAGGAGAGCAGAGCGGGGATCGACTGCGTGGCGTGGATGGAGGCGGTGGCGTTTGGGGGAGAGCGAGGGGGCGGGAGGCGAGGAGACAGGCGGAGGTAGGTGCTGGAGGCCGTCGGCAGGCGATGGCGGGGCACGACGGCGACGAGCGTCGACGGCAGGCGATGCAGCGTGGAGTGCGAGGTGGAGAAACGCCGGGGACGGGGATGTGGGGCGGCAGACTGGACAGCGGTGGAGGTGGATATGACGACAGCGCTCGATCCAACGATGGGCGCGGCGAAGGGGATTCGGCTACGGTGGAGGACGCGGGATCGGTGGCGGTGATCTAGGAGGAGGTGCGGGACGGGAGGGAGGTGTGGTGCCGCCGCGGATTGCGGAGGCGGAGGGGATTCACGACGAGATGATGAGCCGTGGCTAATGTGACCATGGTTACTACGGATACATCCGTTGATCACATCATAGAAGAACAATAAGATATCAAGTTCGAGTCCTCCAAATGCCAGAATCCAATTCGGCCATCTGCTACACTGCTGACTTCAAACGGCCGCCGAATCTGCATACGACCTCCGTTTTCGGCCCATGAGTACTTGATGGAAAGCTCTCGGAGTCCTCTTTCCAATGGATCCAGCCTCATTGTCAAATTCCATCTCAGTCGGCAGAAACTGAAGAAACAAGGTGCTGCAACACCTGTAATGGGCCTATGGGCTTGTAACTTCGTCTGGGACCTCGGCCCAAGTGGGGCCCATGTGGGGTGCGCCCCAACCAGGTGGAGGACGACCTAGAGGACCTCCCACCTCCTTAAATAGCTAGGTAGCCCTTTAGAGTTTATAGGGTTTTGATAGATTAAAGTTTAGCCATTGCTACTTGCTTGCAGCGCGCATGTCGGCTAGACCGTCCGTCTACTTGTTCTTCGGAACCCTAACTTATCATTTGTATTAAATTCCTATTTGCAATATCAGATTGCTTTTATCTTGTTCTTACTTGTTTCTTCGATTTGCTTGCAGGAATAGGGTTGATCTGCACTGGCAAGATCAGCAACCCACGGAGAGGTGTATCGATCGCTAAGGCTCAACACAACGTCTCATACGGTTGTAGTCAGATCGTCAACGTTTCTCCTAAATTGTAGTTATCACAACTCACCGAAAGATCGGGCCAACAACAGCCTTGAGTGTCGAGAGTAACTCAGGGTTCAACAGTGGCGAAGGGGAGCGGCGCGAGCATGTTTTTTTCTTTCCTGATTGTGGATCGCGATCCGTAGGAATCGCGCGTGGGTGGTGCGGAGGAGGAGCGTGTCGCCATGAAACGTGTCCATGTACGTTCCTACGTTAGAGCATCTCCAACACCAACAGCATCGCTATTTTTGACTCTCCATTTGTCTATTTAGCCAACTAGCCAAAAAGATTCCTCTCCAAACCTGCTGCACACTCCAACAGACTCTCCATTTCAGACTCTCCAAATCCTAACGGCTAGTTCCCTCTCCAAAAAATCTGCACTCTCCATCCACTCCAACAGACTCTCCATTTTGGACTCTTCATATTCCAACGGCTAGTTTTTCAAACCTCTATATATATGTCACCCCTCATACTACCTCTCTACCACTCTACACTTCATTTTCTTTGCTTGCTTCTCCACCACCACTTCATAATGAGGCGCCGTAGTGTAGCCATGCAAATTGCTTTGGAGTCATCGTCGTCGGATGATGACGATGTGTTTATTATGGCAACAACAGTCATGATAGAGCATCACCAACGAGCCCAACGCAATGTAGGAGGTAGAAGAGGTTCTATTTCGGGGCATGTAGTGATTAATCGCGATAGAACGGAAAGACTTGCAAGATTAATGAGGGACTATTTTTGTGATAATCCTACATATGGTCCGGTTTTGTTTCGTCGAAGGTACGCAATAATCATTTTACACCATTTTAAATATTTTGTTTTCATCGTTAGTTGTTCCTATTATAATGATACTTTTTATATTTGTTAACTTGTAGGTTTAGAATGGCTCAATCTTTGTATATGCGCATTGTGCATGCAGTACAAAATCATGATTATTATTTTGTTCAAAGGAGAAATGCTGCTGGAGTACTTGGACTACATCCATTGCAAAAGATTACTGTTGCTTTACGAATGCTTGCTTTTGGTGTGCCCGTTGATTTTTTGGATGATTATCTTGGTATGGCTGAGAACACCATTTTGTCAAGTCTTAGAAGGTTTGTGAGAGCTATTGTTGAAATATTTGGGGATGAATATTTAAGGTCTCCCAATCAAGATGATACTAATAGATTGCTTGCAATTGGAGAACAAAAAGGCTTTCCAGGTATGCTTGGGAACATAGATTGCATGTGGAAGTGGAAAAACTGTCCAACAGCTTGGTCTGGCATGTACCAAGGCCATGTTCATGAGCCTACTATAATACTGGAAGTTGTTGCTTCGAAAGATCTTTGGATTTGGCATGCTTTTTTTGGATTACCTGGTTCTCACAATGACATTAAGCATGAGTTTGCTTGACATATAGAGTACATTGTTTGTAGCATGGAAATGGTTAGATTTGTTTATGTAATGGTTTGACATCACCTTCTTTGCTTCATATAATGTCCTGTATAGAAAAGGGTTTATGGCTCATGTTTTCATGGAACAATACATTGTTGATGGCTAAGGATTGGATCAACCATGTGATTAGGTGTTCTCTTCTTAAGCAGGAAATAGGAAATTAGAGGGCTCCTGATGAAGTAGCATAAATGCATATGTGCACAATCTCCGCAAAAATCGAGCTCAAAGGTACGCATCTCCTTCGATTTGGAGAACTGTAAAAAATCTGATGCCTCCATTTTATGCCATCTGTTATGTCTTTTGGAGCACAAAGGATTTTGGTCTGTGTTTTTTCATTTATGTGAGATTTCAGATTACTGCATCATCTTATTTATCAAGAACTATAAATTACTTTGTTCCAGAAGTCCATTTCATAATCTATATTAGCTATTATTTTTTAGATCTATCTTGAATGGACTTCAGGCTTGATCAAAATTTCTGTCTGTTCTCTAACTGCTATTCACTGGCCAAATAAGGGCATCTATCGAGTTAATGTGGACTGATGGCATATATTGTACATTAGTTGTGCGACTAATAAATTCAGTTGAGTTGCTGATTTATTGTTTCACAAATGAATTTAGTTTCACTCTATTTTCTTCTTAACAAATCTTTTTTCTGTTAATTGCATATACATGTTCAAATCCCTTGTCATGGAGATATAAAGCTTTAGTGAACAGTCAAGGCAGAGATTTTGCATCTTTAGTGTATTGTAGATCAGTTGATAACTATGGATCATTCATACATGATTCTGGTCGCTCAATAATTTGTGTATTGTAAACATGTTTATAATTCCTGCAAATTTCTCCTACATGATTCCTTATTCATGCAAATTCTGTTCTTCTCCCTCTAATTGGCCTCAATTCACTGATGTGAGAAAACAAAACATGATGGTATTCAGTATCGAAGCTAAGGTATTTTTCTTTCCTTTTTTGCAGTCATAAAACTGGATTGCAGACAGCTACCTCGGTTCTAAATTCATCCAGGGCATCGCTTCATATAAGTTACTGCAAGGAATTCTGCACTACAACTTTCTACACATAGGAGCAAGATGGTAAGGCACAAAATGCATAGTAACAAATAAAGGATAATGACTATCGCTCTTGGGCTATAAAAACTTTTATGTTAAAGCATCTCATATGATTAAGGAAACTGTATAGCTATAAAAGTTATCACAACTGAAAAAAGGCATTAGTGTCCCAGATATTCTCGGCTTGTGGAATACAAAGTTAGAAGAAATATTTCTCAAACATTATTGCAGTGTCTTTTTTTTTCCTTGAAGAAATACTAACGACTACTAGATTACTTAGAAGCAGCAATCAAAGATGAAAACTAACGCGCCAGTTGGCAAAACCAGGTTAAATCAGGTTATATGTAAGCTCAAGTGATCTTGCAGTTATGTTGAGAAAAATTATTAGATCTATGTGTGAACTCACTAATGTTTTTAGGGTGATGCTTGATAGTCGCTGAATTACCAATTTTAAAGTTCAATTCAGATCAAATATTAATTATTTGAAAAAATTGGTTATATAGCATCGAAAGTTTCCGTTTTTGGTTTTATAGCACCGAAAGTTACCGGTTCACTTTAATAGTATCCAAAGTTCACCTTGTTCCCATTTTTAGCACTTTCGTCAATTTTTCCGTCCGTCTTGATCGTTATTGATCCAGCCACACACATGATATAACATTTCTACCCCTCATTGATATGCATTATACTTGTACTTGTGAGGGGTAAAAACGTCATATCGTGTGTGTGGCTGGATCAAGACGGACGGAAAATGATCGAGAATTGACGGAAGTGTTAAAAATGGGAACATGGTGAACTTTGGGTGCTATTAAAGTGAACCGGTAACTTTCGGTGCTATAAAACCAAAAACGTGAACTTTCGATGCTATATAACCAATTTTGCCTAATTATTTATAGAATCGGGTTTGTCTGAAACGATATAAAACAATATGTTTTCTTGAACTTAATAGGCTCACTTTTACATATTCTGCCTATTTGTGACGACATGGTAGAGCAGAAATACCGAGAGATCACCTGGGTGAGGTAGACAATGGCCTTTATGGCGCCCAGGTTCTACTGTGGCCCAACATGTTCTTTTTTACAGAGGGTGTACTCCGTCACCGAGAGGAGTTGTCAATCTGCACCATCACCAACTGGGAGGCCTCCTTCTGTGTCGCCATAGAGGAGCATTATCAATCTCTTCCGCCATAGGCTCATGTGTCCTCGATCTGAGCCGCCATTGCCAGATATGTCCTCGATCTGCATGAGACAAGGATGTTGCTAATAGCTGATTAACGCAATGGGGTACAAAATTATGTTGTTCTTGGAGGAGACTATACTATGTATGTCTTCTCCCTGCTGTAATGTTTGAGTTCCATCCATCTAATTTAGAGTTATCTAACTCAATGTTCCCTCTTCTCAATGACAATAATAAAAGGGTTAATTAGATCATGCCATTATAATTTTCATGGTTTTAAAATATGCCATTACAATTCAACTATTTGGAATTATACCATTATAACTTTAGAGTTATTAGATAAATACCACTACTTACCTCTTCAACCCATATTCTAAATGTTATAGACGAAATTACTCTTTTCTTCTTCCTTCGTCTCCTCCCCACTCTCTTCTGTTCATCCTCGGAATCTGACGGCCGGAGAGCTGCAGCTCGAAGCAGCAGCGGCAACAGTTCGAGGGCCCCGTGGTCGCCCTGACCTGTCCCCTATCTCCCTGCTGCCGCAGCTGTCAGGGCTGCCGCACTGCCTAGAGATGGTCTGTGACGCTGATGCTACGCATGGCGTCCAATCTGCATCAACGAAGAGGAGCAACAGCAATATCTGTAGGATGAGTGATTCTCCGGTGCTCTCTGCTGTATGATACTATTAGTAGAAACGATCTTAGCCATTGATTTATTAGGCTATAATGTTAAGTTTTTCTTTATATGATTTGTGCCTTCTATTCTTTTTCTCTTCGAGAAATTTGCATGACTAGATCTCGCGCATAATGAGAAATTATTTTTTTTTATCTCTTGCCTTTGATTTGCGGTGAGAGGATCACTTGTCATATATATCAAGCAACTCATGCACTTGAATAGCGCTATTCAGTTTTTTATACTCCTATACGATTTGTTTGGATGAAGATGCATGAATACATGTTCACATCAAAACTAACACGGTAGCTGCTAATTGGGTAGCCAGGCCGCAAGATTGCTTATCTGTCCTCGATCAGGACCGAAAGCCTCGTGCCGCCGCCTTGATTCATCATGGAGAACAAGAAAGCCCAAGTTTAAGTTTTAGCTGAGTCAAAAATATTTGTCTGACTTTTTCTCCGATGTTTTTATTTTATTATTTTATTAGACAATTATACCCTTACATGGTTCTACTACCATTTACTAAGTTGGTAGTAGAATAGATCTGATCCCTTAGATTTAAAAAAAATTGCTCCGATTAATTCTATTATCAATAGAGAGCACTGGAGAATCACTCTTGTGCATTATTTGTAGAATTTTAATTATCGTCGATTACCTATCATGGGGTTTGCAACAAGATAATTCCCATCTTTATTTAAATTTGGTGCAATTGTTTTTCTGGAACTTTGATGTTTAACACGTAATGCCACTGATCAACTTTATTTCAAATTCACTAGGACCTTGTAGATGACTAATCATTGCACCATTCTCCATTTAGCATTCGAATAGTTAATAATGTGGTACTGTCATTTGTACCGTGGAGATTGAAGCTTGTGGAGCAGCTGAAATTCAGTTTATGAAACAATGCTTCTGTCCAAGCTTGTGACGACCAAGGTGTTATTTGTAGTTATCTGTACAATGAAGATTGAATCGGAATTTATTAACAATTCTTGTGCTTGCATTGCTTCATCATAATTCGCCTTCTTTTGCATGATCATAATGTTACTCATGTCTCTGTATGCCATGAGTTAACTTTTTTGTTTAGCTAAGTGGTATTCCGATTAGAGGGGCACTATTTTATTTCTTACCGTGATATTTTATTCAACTATTTTTTATTGTTCTTGTTATTTAATTAGGAACACTATAAAGATGTGATATAATTATTGTGTATTAATGTTTTTGATACAACAAACATACACCCGATGATTATCTAACATCATTGTTCTTGGTGTGTTTTGAATTCATAAATATATTTTCTTCTTCCATTGCAACGCAGGGGCACCCACTAGTAACTTAAAACAAAAGGAAGTAACTTTATCATGACATTAAAAGTAGATTCGTTATGGAGGTAAAAACATGAGTCTATCTAGAAATTAAATTTAATCAGCAAAAATTATGGAATTGACTAAAAATAATAATAAAATAAACAACTCACAACATTATGAATATATAAGAAGTAATTTAATCAAATCGAAAAGTAATTTATATATATGATAAAAATAACTTACATATATAATAAAAGTAATTTACAATGTAGATATTTCTTTTCTCAAAATATAGTAATGTAAGATCTTGTTGTAAAGATTTAATTGCAACAAACACAATGGTGTAATCGGATTATAAATCGAATAAGTAATTTAAAAGAAAATTCTATAAGAAGAAAAAAAATACATGTATCGCTTGGTGTATTAGAGCATCTCCAACATAGCCTCTAAACATAGCCCTCAAACAATTTTTAAGAGTTAAGACCAAAAACTGTTTTGAGAGTTAAGACCAAAAACTAAGATCCAACAGGACCCTTACTAAAACCCCCAAAATAGGAAGGCACACAAATAATCTCCTTAGGTCCCCAGTGCTGGGGCTCATTTGTGGACCCATGGTGGAGAAGCGCGGGAGAAAATTCCCGCTCTTCCCCCTTTTTCTCTCCCGCGTGTTGTCTCTGGCGGCGATCGCACCCCAGGTGCCCCTCGTCCATGGCGCCCTCTCCGACGATGTCCCCCACTGTCCAGATCAGGTTTCAGATTTTTGTGAAGTGTTTTATTTTGTTCTTGAGCACTATACTTGGAAATTATCACTGTTAATTATCAAATGAAGTACAATTCATTTATCGATTGTGATTAATAGAATATAGCCTACTCAGTTTGCATTATCTGAACATGGAAATATGAATGATTTTTACAACCTTAAGGACAGTATCACTGTTTCTTTCTTTGCGATCCATCTAAATTTTGAATATAAACTATAGCATAGTTAACAGGAATTATGATCCATGTGTCCTTTACTAGTAGGATATGTCATTACCACGTTTGGCCTTTGGAGTCCTTTTTGTTAATTATTTCTGCAATAATTTATATTACTTTCATATTTGTTATTTATAATCGAACCATTCATACTTGTTTCATACTTGTAGGATGTGTTATTTTTAATTTATATAATGGATCATTGGATTCACATAGTCCATTTTTTATGAGCAATTTTCATTTTCATTGGTGAATTATAAATCTTGGTTGCATGTTGTTGTATATGGCACTGTGCCCACACCATATTTCCATGTTTGAAAATTTTAATTACTAGTAATATGCCCGTGCTAACGCTATGATAATATTTTATGTAGTTCAAATATTGCACATCCAAATCGCCAGAAAAATGCTTCCACATTCCGTTGTTCTTAATACAAAATGTAATACACATAAACCACAATAACCACTTGATGGTTTGATAACTATACATCTCTGGGAATCGCATGGGAGGGGTAACAAATCTAGTTAAGTAGCAAGGAATTCGGGAGGGGTTACAAATCTAGTTAAGTAGCAAGGAATTCTCTCAATAATAATCTATTATACGCATACTATGACCACTGATTCAGAAAAATATTATCCAGATCCCCACAAAACCTCCACAATTCTGATTGATCCAATATGTAGGAGAGTAATAAGGTATCTACAGCCATTGCATGCTTCAGATTTATTTAACAGCCCAATAGCCCATTATGCACTTCATTGTGTTGAACTTGAAATGCCTTGCTTGTGCTACAGAGAGGTGAAACGAAAGGTGTTTCAAAACAAAGAAAAATGCTAGGCCTTGATCAGCATAAATTAGTTCATTTAAATTTTAGCTTGCTCAATGTTTTACATGGCAAAGAGTCAGCATAAACACCAACATTAAACAACACCATATCTTAAGGGGAATCATGCTTGATCATCAAGTGGGGAATAATACAACTATTGACAATCCTGCCAATTAGGTACAACACAAAATCATGCAAATCAGTGTATCATATTTCAAAACGATAAGTTGACCAAATCATGTAATACCAGTCAAAGTACACACCATGCAGTCAAGCTGACCTCACCGCCCCAGAGGTCGTCGCCTCCCCAGCACTTCACCAGGACAGCCCCTTCATGTGCCCTACGAGGCTAAGACCATGATGTAGGCATCCACCTCTGTTGTCATTGGCTACCTTGTAAATAACACTCACTGTAGCTCAATAGATGCCAAACCACACTGTTAAACATAAACATGAGGCACATGATTTTTTTTGATAGAAAATTGGAAAAGAAAACATTCCGAAATAGCACAAATTATTTGTACTGATAAATCGAAGATTATTTGAAAAGTACATAGAAGTAAGGAATGCACTGGAAAAGAACAACATCATCTCAAATATGGGACCTGATCACTTAACATGATATCAAATCGAGCAGTTCATGAGCAGAAAGATTTCGATGAGCAAGAGCAGTGAAATAGCACGCCAAAGTCCAGAAATTACATCTGTACATGCTACTATCAGCATGTATACCACTGTAAATTCAGACAGTACATGCTACTCTGAACATGTCCATATGCTGTCAAAATGCTGAATATGACTGAAATTCTGAAACCAACGACATGGGATCAAGTCTCAACCCATCGTCAATAGAGCTCCGACATTAAGATAAAATCCATACATATATAACCCTAAAAACTAATGCTACCCTCAGCCCGGTATACTGAAAAATAGTTACCTTTAATATATGATGCATCAACCCTCACTCCATTCTCCAGCAAAAAGCATCAGCCACAACCATGGTTCCACAGATCATTGTCTGCTGCACGTTGTCCCAGGTTTTTTTACCAGGCTGCATTCTATCTTTTGAAAGAAATATTATGTACAGTGGAAAATTACTATAGACAAGTAATTTTACCTCTGTTCATTGGTGATTTTACCGTATGCTATATACAAGTAATCTCCAATATGGGATCTTTCATGATATGCAAACCTGAACAATTAAAAATCAACAGCTTCCCAATCAGCTCCTAGAAACCACAGTTCACAATAGTACACTGAAACAACACAAAACATGAATTGTAAACGTAAACGTGGGACTCAGGGAAGTGGACATAAACTATTTTCCTAGGATAAGATGCATAGATTATTTTCAGTTTTGTTTGCCTGTTTCACTTTTTTTACATGGCATAGTCTCAGCATATTTTCCAATCAGCACTATCGTATATAGTCATGCATCTGAATTTTTTAAAAAATGACCTCTATGGTATTGATATATGCTATAACAGGCATATAACACCTGAATAGTTAACGCAATCGTAGGACAGAGCTAATTCTGTACCCCTGTACCCTTATCAATTTGAAAACAAGTGATTTTTTTAAGGGTGACAACAAGTTACAGCGCTGGTTATATACTTGTGATACTCCATGCAAAAAAAATGAAGAGAATGGCACCTAATTTATACACTTGTCCTCATCCATACAAAAAATGAAGAGAATGCCATATAATTTCTCCCAAGAAAGTAAAATTAATCCAAGGAACCATATTCTGGTTAAATATTACTAACTACCAAGACAGTGATATTAATCCAAGGAATTTGAGTTTTTTTGACAAAATTTATTCTGCAAATATATGTTGAGAACACAGTATTCATGATTCATTCTGTAACCACCATTAAATCTAATTGTCATAGTCATTAAGGTGAGTCAGTGTAGGTGCTGTTTTTACTTCCTAGCAGTATGGTTTTGAGTATGACTAACATTATGGTTTTTAAAGCATGATTGGAAATTGCAACAATTAAATAATGGAAACTTTTTGGGCTGCATGAGTTTCTAGACTGAACTGAATTTTAAGCAAGGGTAAGCAATTTTCCCTTGCTTCAACAAATTTGTTCCATTAGAAATTACTAAGAGGGAATCGATTGCATAATTGTCTACAAATTGCATTAAAAATAAGAAGGGTGATCAGATGCCCTTTCTTTTCTTAACATTTCCTCTTATTTTTCTCCTTCCCTGAGAGCACATGGGAATTCTTTTCCCATGATTTTACAAAAGTACAGTTATGAGATTCCGTAAAAAATGAAAACGTAAAATGATCTAGATTAAATCAAAATACCCATCCAAACATGCCAAAAAGAAAATCAAACTTTAAAGATTCGTATGCCCAAAGAATCTAATCACTGATAACCTTGTGAAAAGAAGTTGTTTATTATGGAATAAACCAGCTGCAATGCGAGCGATATACGTAGGGTAAAAAATATTAAACTCACAGGTGTAACTGTAATGGCATATCAGTGACCAATCCTAGAGAAAAGACACGTGAGCTTCACCCATGATCATCAACAAGTAAAGATTGCAATTGTTCACAGTTGGTTCATGCTGTAAACAAGAATCTATAGAAATTGTCGTTGTCCACGAGCTATAACACACAAGCTATCATACTACGAGATGACAGATATGAGATATGCACAACATTTTAATATCGATGAATCGCCTCGCTGGCTCGCTGCTGCAATTTATAAACCCTTCCCGCAAAAAAAAAAGGGTGATTAGAACAAATAGCCGCGAACAATAAAAATAGCAAACAGACATGAATCAGTCTATTAACGTAAACTTACCGGAGCGAAGACTACACGCGGTGATCAGGATGCCGGTGGATGACGCTCAGTGACGGAGATCGAGGGCAAAGAAGTCGGAGGTGGCAGCGATGAAGTCGTCGACGACGGGCAGCGAATCTTCGACGACGATTTGTGAGCGACGACGGCGAATCGTGGGCGGCGGCGCAGAGGAGATCGGTGAGGCGGCGCCTATCTGGATGCTGGTGCGAGCGCGGGGGTTCGTTCCCATCGATCCGGCGGCGGCGCAGGTGGAGCTGCTGCGGGGGGTTTGGGATTGGGGGTCGGCGCGACGCGGGGAGAGCGAGGGTGCGGCGATGATGGCGGATGCGGTTTCCGTGGGATTGGGATATGGGAGCGGTGCGGCGATTCCGTGGGATGGGAGCGACGCGCGGTGGGAGGTCAGGGAGGTATGGTTCGATCATTTTCGTCCGTTAGATTTGATGAATGAAGTATGAAGAATGTAAGACCCAGTAGGTGGATTATAAGGTAGACTAGTAGCATGCCCGTGCTAACGCCACGGTAATCTTTTGTACTACTTGCAAATTTCTAGCTGTATTCACCAAATTAATTAGCATTTTTTTCTCACACATATATGAGAGGTATCGGAGACATCTCTGAATTTTATTGCCACCATTTGTTTATCTGTTCACATTATTTTCTTGTGATCAGGGTATCAGACCTTTTTTTAGACAAAAGGCTTTCGCCCAGCTTTACTAAAAGCACGAGTATGATACATGTATTGTTGGGGTTTCAAGCTTAACTTGCAACAGCATCGGACAAAGGCAAAGTTGTTGGCTCAGCAAATAGGCAGAACAAGCCAGTCTGAGTTACAGAACAAAGGAACAAGCTAACCTAAGCTATCTCTCTAGGGAACGTTCCATCTCGGCACAAAAATGATAGCAAACAGTTGCAGAACCGCTGGATAGCTAACCTAAGCTATCTCTCTAGGGAACATTCCATCTCGGCACAAAAATGATAGCAAACAGTTGCAGAACCGCTGGATACTTATAGCTAGTTGGAAAATCCATCTTCTTGATCATTAGTTGAGACTTGATCCTCACATCTCGTGAATTTTGGCAAGCAAGAATCCCTTTAAAGCATCCAAGTACCCTGCCAGTTTCGAAGGGATGAAAGGTCTCCATTGTTGCAAAAGGGAAACAACTCTATAAGGCAAATGCAATATCTGAAAGCAATTTGTTTTTAACACCCAATCATTTCGGGTTAGCGAAATGGCCCATGTTCCTACAGAGAACAAATACAAGAAGGTAATATTCTGATTTTGTTTTCAGGATATTGCAGCATGGACATGACCTCAATTCTAGAATTTGGGATTCTATCTCTTGCACATCTCTAAAATAGCAACTGCAGGAACTTTGCTTGAGCACATTTGAACATTAAGTGATCAGGCTATATTGCATAATATATTTGAACATTAAGGGTGATGTCTTGCACTTGTTGCTCTGTACAACAGATTTTGGAGAATGGAATTGTCGAGCTGTGAAGTCCATGAAGGCAGAGGTTCCAGATTTGGTCTGTACAGAAGGATTCATCTCAACACAGTGCAAATTAGGAGTCAAAAAAAACATCATGACAGAATACCTGTTCAAGTGGGGAGGCAATGTCCATTGTGTTCAAGCAGAAGGCACGACTGGCTTCGTCGATGGCATGCCATCAAAAACTGACACATGATGTGATACTCCATAGAACTTAAGTGGAAAATAAATAGCTAGAAGGATGCAAAGGTCATCCCTCGCAATTGCTTATTGAAGCGTATACTTAATGGGAAATGCAATCTGAATCATATTTTTCTATACAGTGCACTCCAAGTAAGATGTGAAACTGTAAGTAAAGAAATTTGCTGCCAAAGCGTTGTACTCGTACATAAGAATAACAAATGGCCTTGTTTTCTCATAACTGCAAAACAGATTTTAATTTAAAGAAAAATGGAGAAATCATAGATCTTCAATTCCTGTTTTGTAAGCTAAATTTGAGACTATTTGAGTTTTCCCTCGGGAGAAAATGCAAGCATACCTACCTACAAATCAACAATCATGAAAATAAATTAAGATTAGCATATTAATTTATTATATTTGGCTTAAACACACAATCATATTCAGTCGTAAACCTTTATCTGACTTTCATGCACAATACTCCAATTGATAAGATGATTAAGCCAAGATGCTACTGTAGTATTGCCACATGCTTGTCTACGTGGGTCATAAGCTCCTAAGACAAGCATACGACATGGATTCCCAAATTACCACTCTAAATTGACACTTGCCATCTTCTTCACCCCTTTATTCCATGGATGGCAACCGTATACTTTCAGGGTGACAAGATGCATCCATACTGATGAACCATATCACAAACATACATGCATCCCCCACGTTATCAGATCTTTAAGAAAGAAAAATTTTGATGTGAACATACAAGCAGTAGGATCATAGTCAGTTAAACATATTATTCATGCACTACCATATCCTTTTTCGCGAACGCATGCACTACCATATCCTGCTATGTCTATCTCCCCAATGGCCAGACATCCAATCTAAGCTAGACATATTCTTCAGAGTTAAGAACCAACAAATTTGCAGTAAAACTGCCCAGAGTGCTAAACAAATCATGGATGTCACACTGATGCAATTAATCCAACATCTTTAATTGTGCCAATTTAAATTATTGAGAGAGATTACCCTGTGGTTCAATATATTACCAACGCATTACACAAGTAGTAATTGGTATGGCTCTGACTGATCGGGTTAGCCTCCAGGAATCAGCACAATTCCCCGCCGTCATGCATGAAAAGATAAACACAAGCTGGATGTCAAAAGGAAACCAAACCAATCCACCTCAGAACCAAATCTGAATTCATGAACTCACATATTCCAGTCACACTTTGAGGTAGCGGAGATCCTTCTTGTAGAGGTCGTCGTCTGGTCGTAGATCACCACCAGCCGACTTGAGCAATCCCCTCCTGTCGGAAGCAGACAAGGCCAGCAATGAGCAGCAAAGCTTGCGGAAACCACAGATAAATCCCTAAAATGCCAAAATCCTTCGGCTCAACCAACTGGTATGAATTAACCGGACTAAGAGAGGAATTTATTGCTTACTCTAGCCATGGTTGGAGCGGATCTTCGGCGCTGTACTCGTCGATTGCCTCGATCATTTTCCTGAATAGGTAGATCAATCAAACAATAGACAAAGAAAATCACGAGACGAATCCCCTCCCGGCCTCCCCGACTCAAGAAATCCGGAGCAAACCAAACCAAAATCGAGAACCAAGAGAAGCGGCGGCGGCGGCGGTGGGAGTCGCGGAGGAGATCGGCGCGGTGGAGAGGCGGGGGACGGTGGTCAATCCGGGCGACGGTGAACTGGCGGCGCGGAATCGGGTGACATTGCGGTGAGGCGGAGGCGGGGTACGGTGATGGGGATCGGAGACTGCCAGATCCAGAGGGTCTCACCGTGGATGTGGGCGGCGCGACGAGCGGCGCACTCGGCGCCGGCGGGGGTTGAAGACGCGACGGGGAGGGGTGAGGGCGTGATGTGTGGGGGGGTTTGGCAGGGGAGCGCGGAAACAGAGGCCGTGATGAGCGATCGCACCCGGAAGAGAGGTAGAGCTGATCTCGATCGTTCGATCGGGGTAGAGGAATATGAGCCGTTGGATTTGATGAATGAAGTGTGAAGGATGTAAGAGGTAGTTGGTGAATTATAGGATAGATGAAGTATGAAGGATGTAAGACCCAGTTGGTGAATTATAGGGTAGATAGATGAATTTGAATTGTGGTGTTTGAAATTGTTGATGAGGGCATCATCCACTATTACCCGCTGGCAAAGACGCAATAAGGGGCCAAGTTGTCTAGTTGTAGTCGGGCGGCGACCGTGTGAACCTCTGAATAATCTCACCTTGCTTAGCTTGGGAGGAGGAAGCCACTTTAAAAGGGAGAGCCACCCCTCCCCTATTGGACTAATCTTTTAGGGAGATTGGCCTTTCCCCGAGTGGGTGTGCCTAAGAACTGTTGGGGCAACCTTAATATATTGGGTCTCGGCAACTGTTGGGGCAACCTTAATTTATTGGAGCCAACCCCATAATTTATTGGGCCTCGGCCAACCCCACCTGGGGCGGATGTATCATTTGGTATCAAAGCTGGGCCCTCAGCCAACCCCACCTGGGCCTGGGCCAGATGTATCATTTGGTATCAGAGCAGAGTTAGGCCATTGTATCATTTGGTATCAGAGCTGGGCCCTCGGCCAACCCCACCTGGGCCAACTTCGTGGTTTTAGCCGTGAAACACCGCACGAACTCACGTTTTTGGGGAAAACACTCTATAAAAGTAGTAATTTGCCAGCGGACACCGCGCCGATTAAAATAGTGTATCCGTGATGACGAAGTTTTAGTGGGCCCGATATTTTACGCGGAGTGACCAAAATGCCCCTGTGCCTTACCCAGTAGCGTGCTATTGCCAATTTGCCATCTCCTGTGCCGCCGCCGTCGTCATCTCCTTCATATCGAGGGTCAACAGCTTGTCCATCACTGTACCACCTCTGCAGCTACAGTCCATGCCGTTGTCTTTCGCTGTACCACCACCGCAGCATCATCAGCAAACACCACCACCGATTCAGCTTCAGCACCACATAATACCAATGATGCCACAGTCCCAGCTCCAACTACATCCACAGAGCAAGGAGGCCAACACCATTCAAGCGCCGCCACTAGAGTAGTACGACACGAGGACATCTAGTGGCGGCGGCGTGTCGTCATTGAGGTTGCCGAAGTGGGAAAACATCAAGAAGGAGAGAAACAAGAAACATCTCAAGGACACCTAGACATGCCCCTACTACCATCAGCTTGACGCTGATGCAGATATACCTATCAAAAGTACATTGTTCTTTACTTGCAGATCAGAATATAAGGTGAACTCGTTTCTCTCTAAGTCTATGCGTGAAATATATGAGAATTTGATGCTACATAATATTTTGCACTTGATTACTTTCAGACATGAGAGATTTGGACCATTGGCTGGCATAAACAACATGGGGTCCAGCCGAAGGTGACGGGTGTAGCAGCGCACATGTGGAAGATCGGATGCTATTCTGTTCGTGAAGTTCATGGCGAATTCTGCATTGATGAGAAGGCTTTCAACATGAATGGCTTATATATTAGGAAAGGTTATCAAGTCTACTTTCCATCAAATCAAACGGCATGTCATTCCGAGCTTTCTACCAACGGCAATTGCAAGTTGAAGACATCCTGTGCGGGCAGACCGGGTGACGCGCAAGTAACAACAATGGTGATGAGCGTCGGCTTTGCACGGCATGGTTGGATAGAGTTATACTATCATATGGCCCATCTTGGGTTGGGAAGGAGTCCATCTATTATTTCTCCATGGATTGAAGCTTTCCAAAACCAGGAGTTTCAAGATAAGAAAGGAAAGATTCAGTTCGGACTCGGTTTGGGCCAGCCTGAATATAATGGACTAAAACGCTTGTTTCTCTCTCGTCCGGAGTCCGTTTTGGACGTGTGAGCACTCGTTGGAAAGCTAACTTCATGGCCCACGTGGTGGATAGGGCCCACGACACAAATTCCTTCTGGTTTCACCGCAAGAGCCGAAACAAATTGACGGTGCTGTAGAGAAATTTCCATATTGTGATGTATTTGATTCTTAGTTAGTTTCTAACCCATGTAATGGCTATATATGCCTTTGTGCACGACCCATGAGGGGGACAACATTTATTCTAATGAAAATTGCAGCAAATTTGCTCTTGTTCTTCTCCTAGGTTTTGTGCCGCCGCCGCCAAACTAGAGAGAGGGATTGGGAGTTCTGCCATAGATTGTTCTTACTTTTCCTTGCAGGGAATTGAGGGGGCAATAGATTCACTTTTGCGTGGTTAAGTGGATCAACCTATCAAAGCGTGTGGTTTTGCGAATTCATGGTGAAAGGTGTGTTGCACGGGCAACGTGTTGTTCATCCAGTTCGTGAGGTTTTACGGTGTTTCCGGATCCTACGTCGAGAAGGTCGGGCTTTCCCCCGTATCAGACGCGCTCTATCGGCTGCAGCATGGCCAACGCCGCCTCGTCAGCTCCAGCGACCACCACCGTGCTTACCGCGGCGCTGCACGTGGAGCACGGTAAAAACAACGGCAATGCGAATGGGTGGGCGAGTGCTAACAACAACGGCAGTAGCTCCCCGGACACGAGAAGGTTAATGGATGAACGTTCGCCAACTACTTCATTCGCGAATGGCGCCACGGAGAAGGGATCGCAACGGAGGAGAAGTCGGAAGGGAGCAATATTATTCCTCCCATTCCAATTTTCGGTTTTCCTCTTTTTACGTGGTCCTTTATCCTTTTTGTTTCACTACCTTTTTCTTTTTCAGATTTCTTTTTTTAATTCCTTTTATTGTTTCTTTAACAGAAATATTTTTATATGAATTATTTCATGAAAACTTTCTATATATACATATAGATTATGTATGTAAGTTTTTATATGTAGATTTTATGTACATAAAGTTTCTATATGTAGATTATATATATATATAAATTTCTATATGTAAACTTTATATAGAAATAAAAAAATGTTGATCATCACCGAATTATTTTTTTTTTAAAAAAGTCCAATCCAAACAAATTGTAACAAGAAAACATAAAGCATGCGTGTACTTAGTATTTTAACCGAAGAAACAAACTACCGGCACGTTAGTCATTACTAATCACGATTAAGCATGTAATTAGGCATGTAATTAGTTATGAGGAAGAAGAGATGAAACGGCACTTGGAACATTCGTGAGATACTACTAGATGCTAATCACGTGCATGCATATATGCAGCGGAGAAGCGAGAACTGTTGGAGTCCGTTCGCTTGTCGCGAACGCTCGCGAATCAGACTCACCCCGCCAGCGGCAATGGCAACGTCGTGGCGGCGACAATTAATAACAACATAATCTCTATTACTTAAAAAATCCGTAGTGATGATGGTGAAGCCAATATACACGTGTGATACAACGCTCAAACATCCTCGATAAAAAAAACGGAGGGGCGCACTCCTCCGCACCACCATTGTGCGACTGGATCACGATCCGGAATCACCCAAGAAAAACGGCGCCCCGCAATCCGGAATCAGATCACTTCCGCAACGCTCTCATCCTGCAGACTCGCACACGTTTCCTCTCCCGAGCGATGTAAGATCCGCCTTCCTCTCAACCGCTGCTGCGATCTTCTCCGTATCAACTGCATGCAGCCACCGCCGATCTGTCGTCCTGACGCCGCCTTCGTCCTCCTTCCTCCCCCTCAATGAGCGCCTCCTCGATCCCTTCCACCTCAAGCGCAGCCATCGCCGTCTCTCCCTCCCGAGTCCCGACGAAGCTCACCTCTGCCTCTACCACTGTCCCCGACCCAACCCGCTCCCTCCCCCATCCAGCGCCACAACACCCTCCAAAGTCCAAACAAGCCATCAAAACGAATCTCTCCGCCTACGCCCCAGCTTACGCCCTCCGCCGATGCTCCTTCCTGTGTGCACCCTGCGTCATCGCCGCCCCTTCCTCCGTGTGCACTACACCGCCCACCCCCATCGCCCAGCGACCACCTCCTGGTGTGGCAAGCATGGACGCGACCAGCCAAGCTTGAAGTGGCGGTGGCAGCGACGTACTGACGACACTACCGGATGTATGTCATTTAAAGGCATTTGGTGGAAGGCATTTCTTTAAAACTGCCTCAAATCATCTCTTTTAAAGGCAATTTTCATAAAATGCCAAAAAAATATTCCTATACATGGCAAATTTAATTAATGCCTTCAATACTTTTATCATTAGAAGGCGTTTTAAAGAAAAACGCCTCAAAAACTATGTGCTTTCAAGGCATTTTCATTAGCGCCTTAGAAAATCTCCTATTTCAAGCGTAATCACGGAACGCCGTAAATTTTATGTTATTTGGGGGCATTTTGCAAAATCGCCAGGGCAACAGATAGAAGGCACTTTCGAGAGAAATGCCTCCTAATCTATGTCACATATGCAAAAAGAACCCTAAAAGAATTTAAGGTATAGAAATTAGTCCTTTCACCACTCAATCACCAATCACGCGGACGCTACCATATCCGATCCCTAGCTTTCTCAGATCAGATCGAGCGAAAAAAAATTGGCAAAGCGCGCGACTCCTGGCCGCCGCCCGGCCGGTGACTTGCCGCCGGCGACCGCACCGCACCCCGCCCTCCCGTCGCCCGTCCCGTCGTGCCGCCGTCGACGGTCGACCGGCGCCCATCGCCGCATCAGCGCATCGCGTTGCGAGCGTCCTGCGCCCCAGCCGCCCGGTGACCTCGTGGGGGTGACTTGCCGCCGGCGAGAGCCCTGCGCCCCGCCCGTCGCGCCGTGACACCGTCGACAGTCGACCGTCACCCGTTGCTCCATCGCGGCTCCACACACAAGCGCTGCGATTCCCCATCGCCGCTTCAAGCCCTAGGCCCCTACATCGCGATCTGTCGCTGCCTCAGACAAGGACGATCGTCGGCCTACTGCAGCAAGTACAAGGTATGTTCCTATCGCTACCCACCCTTCTCACCTCAATCGTGATAGGATTTGAGAAATTTGCTTGATCTATTGGTTAGGAGATGTTTGGTGTTGTGTAGATGTTTTAGATTAGACCTAAATAGAATCTGATCTAATCATAGTGACCTCAATGGCGATTTATAGTGTGTGTTATTGAAAGGGTCAATTAGGCCTAGGGGGGGGGGGTGAATAGGCTAAGTTTAAAACTTTATGCGGAAGCTAAAACTGAGATAGGGTCGGAAAGTCTGATCCACAGTCAGACTATCTGAAAATATCAGATAGTCTGATGTTGGATCAGACTGTCTGATCCACTAAAGAGATACACCAAGCAAATCTAGCACACAAACAAGAGTAGTGCAAACAGCGACTAGATCTATAGCGGCACAATTAAGCAAAGCTAAAGAGAGGATGAAGAGATATCACCAACGATGAAGTTCACGGAGTTGTTCCCGGAGTTCAAATCCTTGAGGGGATTCTACTCTCCGTTGAGGAGCCCACTAAGAGCCGGGTCTTTGCTAACCCTTTTCTCAAGAGGTTGCACTAAGCACTCCTCCTTCCACTAAGGGATATCTCTTTCCTTGCGGAGGCGAGATCCGGCCTTCACAAACTTCTCCCGGCCAACCACACGTAGATCGGTGGCTCGGGAGTGACACCTAGCCTTCTAGGAGTCCTCAACCTCCAAGAGTAACAAACACCACACAACTCTTGGTCAAACCCTAGTGCTCAAGATCGAGTGAAACACACATTAGGCCCTCAAACACCAAATTCACAACCACCAAGATCCACAACACAAAGAACGAGGACTTTCAGTTATTATTGGTTGGATCCTAGGATTCACACTGGAATTTTGGTCCTATGTGCAGAACTGAACTTTTGAAATATCAGAGTGCAAGCATTTGAATGTATAAATCCATTTGCTAGATACATATTACTGGAACTTCATTTGATATACTTTGCGCAGTTTGTAGATACATGCCTACATATAAATTCTCTGAAATGCTCTGACATTTTTATATAGACTTTGGCTGTAATATAAATTCTCTGAAATTTGTATGTCTTGATTCTTAAATTGCTGTGATAAGTTCTTTTCTAGGAAGTACAGTACTGAATTGTGGGTTGTACAATACTTAAATTATAAAATCATCCCTAGTATATTTTTGAATTAATCCATGAGTTGTTTCGAAGAGCTGTAGCTGTACAATCTGATCTATATAGTAAAAAAAATGTTCTACTCTTGATTTAGACCATATGCTCTGATATAGATGACCTAATATACTGCCTATATATGCATATAAGTTCAGAAACTTCTGTAGATTGTTCTGAAAATCTGAGACTGCAGTAGTGCTTGTTCTGAACTTTGGTTTTCAATATAGTATAGATTTGGTTTTCAATTTTTGACATTTCCCAGAACAATGGCTGCAGTATAAATTATCTGAAATGGATATTTTCAATTCTCTGAAATGGCTGTAGCACTGAAATCTGAATAGTAGGATTTGTTCTGGGTTCTCTGAAATCTGAATATATATAGCCCGCTCAAAAAAATATATAGCTTGCTCGATAGGGATTAACATGCTTATATTTACTTCAGTCTTTCCTGTAAGCAAAATTCATAACCCAAACAACCTAAGTCTTTCCTGCTGATTTCATATGTGTTGTTGCTATGCATGATATCAAGGCAAAGAAGTCTTTCCTGCTGATTTCATTTGTGTTGTTGCTATGCATGATATCAAGGCAAAGCCTCTTTTTAGGCTGGTTGCCTGATTGTAATGGTTTGATAAGAGTATACTGGACGTTTCTTTTTCTTTACACTTTTGTATTCTTTAACAGAGCACAAAACATAATTGGAACATCATGGATAAAGGGTGGATGAAAGCATCGAGATCTAGTATTGAATATAATATCGGGGTTAATAAATTTATAGACTTCGCCTTGTCCACTATATTCCACGGTACTAGACAATTTTCCTAATTCATAGTTTGTTACTCCAAGGTTGCAAAAATTTAGATGCTAAATATTATTTGTACCCAATTCTAGGTGTTAACTGCTGTTAGACACATCTCATCTGACCAATGAGACATATCTGCACCAAGGAGACAAATACATGATCTAACATACAAGGAGAACATAGGACATGAAGATGTACATTCTAGGACAAGTAGTCTTGGAAAAGCCAGCGCTGGTTTTTAAGTGCTATCAAGTTCAGTAATAGCCAAGTGCTAACAACTTCACGGTTCTAGCTTATGAAAGTAAGTCTCCTATCCCAAGTTCGAATGTCTTTTCTCAAGACCATGGCAACAACTCTGTTGTTTCATAATAAGAAATAGAACTACTGATTTGGATATATTATTTTTTTACTAGGATTTAAGTGGATTTGTAATTGTAAAATGTAGCAACTCAATTGTAGTTGTTTATATTTTGCAATGTAGAAGTTTTAGAAAGTTGTGAAGTCACAAGTTGCAGTTAAGGTGAATAGTCATCTATGTTATTTCTTGATCTATGATTCCTTTTATGGCATATTGGCATATTGGCATATTATGCTCATTTGTTTCTTTCCCTTAGAACTTTTATGGACAATTATAATTTCTGCAGATACCTCATTTGACTTGTAAATGTAATACAGATGTGCAGATCTGCACTTGTATTTGCAGATAGCCTGTCTATTTCAAATGAATTCGTATGTTGCACTTGTATTACAGGCTATCTGAACATCCTATTTGAATTCGTATTTTGCAGGGGAAGCATATTATTTTCGCTGTATGGTTTTCTTCACATGGCTTGCAAGTGCAACATAGCACCAATAAGAATTCGAAGCTATACTATCAAGATTTTGTACAAAGTGCAATATAGACACTTGTGATTGTGTGATCATCATATGCTGGAGGATGAAAACAAATTGCACTTTACAGTAGCATCATGTCATTCTTGTTGATTATAGTTTTGTCCTGTGACTGAGAAATCATCGTTGTTATTAGTTTTTTATCATAAATTTGATTTCTCTATTTGAGTTGCAATCTCATATTGGTATGCTCACAATTTGTATGCGAGCACATTGTGGAAAAGACCACTAATTACTAATGATGCAATGAACGCCATGGATCTTCTTGCTGGCATTTTAAAAAATGCCCCCAATCTGCTAGCTGGCGTATTGAAAAATGCCTTCATATCTCCTGGGTGGCATTATGAGAAATGCCACTGAATACCTAAGTAGGCATTTTTGGAAACGCCTCCTAAATATCTTTGGAGGCGTTTTCTAAAACTGCCTCAAATCACTTTTCCCGTCGACAGTATATTTGGCACTTTTTAAAATGCCTTGAAAGATCATTTGAGGCGTTTAATCAGGCATTTAAGGCGTTTTGAAATGCCTGCTAAGCTATGTCATCCTGTAGTGCGAACGCCTCGCCGGCAGCCGTCGCCCCCACGCATCTTTCCAGGTTGTCGTCGTCGCCGCTGCTCCTTATGCCCGCGTCCACCATGCTGCCTCGATCTCCTCCTCCATCCCCGGTGCCCAACCCTTCCCTCCAGTCGACCCTCCCCATCCCCGGCGCCGTCGTCCGCTACTAGGGGCGGATCTACAGTATAAGCGTCGGTGTCAGGCGACACCGACGACTTTCGGCAAAACATATAACAAAACTGCTTATCTATATACTATAACACTATGTTCTAAGTATAATTAGCATACTATGACACCGATAGATACGTTATGACACCAACAAACTGATTTTCTGGATCCGCCACTGTCCGCCACCCATCTCCTCCTCCTCGCTGCACCCAAGTCAAACATCTCGATGAGCGGGATCATGTGGATGGGGCTCTCCATCTCGGTGACGGCGGTGAGATCCTGCGGTGGCTTCTCCTGAAGGAGCTTGCGGAGAAGGTGCATCTCGAGCTCGATGCCTTCGGCCACGATCACCATGACCACAACTACGACCACCACCATGGCTACGACAACTTACAGCTCGAGTTCTCCCCTTGGGTTAGGCTTTTTTTTTTTGGGGTTTAAATGTTTAATTTAGGCTATCCTGGGCGAAATGTCGATTTATGTTTGATTCATTTTCGCGTGATTGAGAAATTTGGGGGATTTGATTGGTACGTGGCTCAGTGCCATGGGATGCTCGCTTCTGGTCAGCATGGCGTCGCCCGTCTGTCTCGTCCTGCTCCCAGTAATCTTCTGTTCTGTGAGTGTCCCCCAATTGAATGTTTGCTTTTTTTTTTCTTCTGATTATATGTGTGCGCTCACGTTCTGTTTCTCTCATTTGCATTTTACAGTCCAGGGGAAACCATCAAAGACCATGGTGGATTGCCTTGCCACCTTCGTGGTAAGTATGTAATTTTCAGTGGTTAAAAGTTTTTATTAGTACAAAACCCAAACTAGCAAAAACAGATCATTGACTACAATTTACTCGAGTCTGAATGTATTTGTCTGCTATGGTACCAGAACCAGCATAGTATACCAATGGGTAATGCAGTTTGAAATTACAGTACAGCAAGGTAATTTAGGTGGTTGTTGAATTCCTTAATTGTAGACTAACAAATGGCCACATCTATACTAACTGAATATCACGTCACATCTGTGTTAATATATATTTTATATTGTGATTGGGTAAAAAAAAGAGCTTTACGTAAGGAATTAGATGGTGAGGCTGACTTTGAATGGATCAAGTACTGTGGTTTTTATTTGTACATTTTTTGTGATTTTCTTTTGCTATGGCGTCCATTTGGGTGCAGATTTGAGTCTTATTGTTCGGATTAGATTGTTCAAAATGGATATTCCAAATGGATAGGTTGATTGGGATTATTGGAAATGTAGGAAGAGATGCAGTTTCAGATCAAGCTAATCCTGAAAATTCCACGAGGTATGATTTACGTCTTTACAAATTTTAGACAAATTGACACTCTCTTCGTTATATTTTTCCTGTGCAGGTCATGAGACATTGCACAATTTGGTTGATGAAGCCCTCTTGCTAAAGGTATTGCATAATCAAATCAAGATGCACCTTGATTTTTTTTTTGCATAAGAACTTTAATTGTTCCTAAAAAAGCCATGAAGTTACAAGCTTACGACTTTGGTTTTTTTATCAATGAAAATCATTCTATGAATATGTCAACGTGTATTTCATTGCCATTAATTATTTCATTTTTCCTTTAAGCTGAGATATTGTTCAATTTTGGAGCTCTAGACAATGAAACCATGGCTTCATATCCTTGAAAAAACTCTATCGGTTGAATCCAGTAAAAATGTGTTTTCTCTGGCATTTTAAATATTGCAATGTTCTGATGACTTTTAGTTACTAATATATGATGCATAATTCTATGCCCGGTTCTGTTATTTCTTTTTATTTGGACGTAACTTGCTTGAATGATTTGATGTGGCTAAGGAGAAAATTTCTAAGGCCCTGTTTGGTTTCTCAGGAGGCCAGGAGTTGGAGCCATGCAAACTTGCCTTATGCTAATGTCTTCGGGAGCTTTAAGATTAGGCCCTGCTGCATTGATCAAATTAAGCAGGTCAGTTGAGGCTCTAAATTTGCTTGCAATCCAGAAGGTTTCCACCAATTATAGTGATAAAGCATCAAACTCTTATGATCAATGTTTCTTTGTTCCGAGCTTACTGCCATAGTATGTTAAATAAATATGCTGCGATGATTTAATTATCCAATCCTGCGAGCCGACGGACGCGCCACCGCCGCCTGCAAATCCTACCCCTCCGCCCGTGCCCCTACCCCCACCCGCACTCCCGCATCCGTCCCTCCACCTCCGTCCGCACTGCCCATGCCTCCATCCTCCAAGCCCCCTAACCTATAATAAGAAGGTTAAGTTAGTTTCTCATTGTTTCATATTAGACTGTCCAAGCCCCCTCCCCTATAAAAAATGTCAAGTCAGTTTCTCATTGTTTTATATTTGGCTGTATTAGTTATGTTTTGGTTTAGTTTGATTCATAGCAAAATGCAGTATGCATGCTGGACTTTGCAAATCCTAATTGTAGACAGCAAAATAATGTATGGACTGTTATTTGGTCTTCTATGTTACAAAAAAAACCCAAATATTGTGCACCTCATACGATATATTATGCTTGCTAGGTAACTAATAGCACTGGAAACTGAAGGTTAGTATGCATGATTTGGTTAATAGTGACCTGTAATTATAAATGGAACATGTATGCTCAAGCTAGATGAGTGCGCTGCATAATCTTTGCTGCAGTAAATTATTTATGCCCGGTCTTAAATCAAATGAATAATATGTTAAGGCTGAAAACTAAAACCGATATGTGAAATATAATTTCTGGAGTCATATGCGTAGAAAATATTCCACATATATAATACCTTATTCATATTACCTTGCTATTTTTAACATAGAGCAAAACTTTCAGTAACTGAATTTGCGTGATGGCATTAAAAATGTGTTGCACAATTCAGGGTGATGAGACAATACACTTTTTTTTGTGCTGTTACTGTATTGTATTTATGCTCCCTTCACTAAGAAATGTAAGACATGGATTGTCATGGTATTCTCCATAATTGAACTTGTCTAGATATTGTGTAGTTCTTTATGCATCAGGTGGTATTGCAAAAAGAGAAAAACATAATTAATTCTTCAGGATCTATGATGCTGAATTGGTTAGTCCATGTTTTGCACTGTTATTATCACTGATATGGAATTGTTCTCTCAGAACTCTTAGGGATCATCCGAAGATTGAATTTGAAAGAGCAGTGGACTGATGTGCTACCTCACTTTATTACTTTTGCATGCTCTAAGATCAACAATCTCTCATGATAGATAGCATATCGCGTAATGCTGGAGATGTGGATGGAGATAAGTACATTCATTACAGATGAACTCGTGGCAGAAATTTCTTGATGGAAATTTTACATTTATCAGAACGGTTTGTATGCAAATTATGTGGCAAAAATTAACAGATGTTTGATACATGTCTTTAATGTACTGTATTTGATCATTTCAATTCAGTCTCTATCCTTTGATTTAAAAATGTAGTATTCATCTGTAATCTATGGAGATAATTTTCATTTTGTAATATATAATAGTTTGTTCTCTGTATATAGATCATGATTTTTTATGATGTCCAGAAGATTGTTACATGTGAATAGGAAAAAAAGGGAAATGTCCTGTTGTTTGGAGTGAATTGGTGATGGTTCATGACAATGCCAATATATTTTTACGGGAGATATGTGATGGGGAGATATGCAGCTCATCCATGACAAATACCATATCTGGGTATGTTTGATGTTCTAGATTTTTTGTTTGTGCTTTAATTAGTATGACATCATTAAATTTTCATAGCAGTCTTCTATCTATATTGTCTTTTTATGATTTCATAAACACCATGAAATTGTTTTGTACGTCAGAAAGCTTGCACTCTGATTGTAGTGGTAACAGGTTTCTTGAATTGGAATTAATCTACATAACAATTTTGATTTGTAGTCTCTTTGATTTGCCAGATTTTTTTCAATGTTCAACAAATTTTCACCCAATGATTATTTAACATCTTTTTACTTGATATAATTTGAAATTGGTACTCCCTCCGTTTCAAAATGTTTGAAACCGACATGTTTGACCGTTCGTCTTATCTAAAAAATTTGTGAAATATGTAAAATACATGAAAGTATATTTAACAATGAATTAAATGATATAAAAAGAATAAATAATTACTTAAATTTTTTGAATAAAACGAATGGTCAAACACGTACTAAAAAGTTGAACGGTGTCAAACATTTTGAAACGGAGGGAGTATATATTATTTCCCGTTGCAATGCACGGGCACCCAACTAGTTAGTTAAAAACGCATTGCATCAACTCGTGCTGCGTACTTGTGCGTGCACATGAGCATGCAAGTAAGCATCGTTGTCTATTTGTCTGTACAATCCGTTCTAATCGAACAATGTCACATATCAAATCTTGTAATTTTGGGATCAAAACAAAGGCAGACATAGCTGTTGGCCATGAACCACAAATACAACAACAACAGAATGGCCGCTGCCGCCGACGACATCGGCGGTGGCAAGATGTAGGTGCAGTACGAGACGCCCCATTTCCAACGGCCGTAGCTGCAGAACCAGAACGTTGTCGTCGGCCAGCCAAATGTGGGCGGCGGGCGACGGTGCTCCGATAGCACTGGCAGGCCCTCCGCAGCCTGCAGCAACAAGTGGGACATCTTTCTCGGTCTGCTTCCAGTGATGACGACAAAGACGACGACATATATACACCTAGAAATATGAGGAAGCATGGGCATTTCGGTCACTGCACGTAAAATATCGGTCACTTAGCGTCTCGTCAGCACGTATACATTATTTTAATCGACGCGGTGTCTACTGGTAAATTACCATGTTTATGGAGTGTTTCCCCCAAAAATGAGTTCGTGCGATGTTCTACGGCTAAAACCACAAAGTCGTGATGTCCTATAGCAAAATTTGTCTTCAAAATAAGGACTATTGCTGGAGATGAAGTAGGTCTGAGATAGTGTGCGGTCTCACGTCCATTTCCTTTTGTTTTCCAAAAAAAAATCCTTCCGTGAGTGTAAGGGCGCGTCGTCAGGCTTACTGGGCATGTTTGGATTGATGCCCAAAATACGCCTATAAGAGACAAATTCATGGGCAAAGCCAAATTTATGGCATAAGTAGTGTTTTAATAGAGGTTAAAAATGTCCATTTGAATTGAAGCCAAAATATACCTATAAGAGATAAATTTATGGGCAAAACCAAATTTGTAGCATAAGTAGTGTTTTAATAGAGGTGTTTGGTTTGCTACCCTACCACAATTTTGGTAGGGTAACGTTTGGCAAGAAAACAAGTTGGCGATCAGTCGCGCGCCCCCCTCCCCGCGTGACTGGACACATGTCGCGCGTGGAGAGGGGGCGGCGACGCTCCGCGCGGGTGAGGAAGAGCGAGTTTTCCGTTTTTTTTTTGTTTTTTTTCGTTTTTCCGTTTCTGTTCGGTTGTTTTTCCTTTTTTTCCGGTTCGGTTGGTTTATCTTTTTTTTTCTGGTTTCTCTTCTGTTTTTTTCCCGGTTTTTTTAAATTTTATGAATACAAAATTTGTATTCGTATGTATACCAAGTTTGTATTTGTACGTATACAAAGTTTATATACGCGTATGCAAAGTTTGTATACGTGCATATAAATTTTGTATACGTTGTGTATTTTTTATTTTTTAATACATATGTATATAAAGTTTGTATTTATAGTATACAAAGTTTGTATATGTCCTATGTAAACTTCGTATACGTTATATATATATATATATATATATATATATAAACTTTGTATATGTGTATAAATTTATATACATTAAAAATATATTTATATATATACGTATGTACATACTATATATACACACGTATATATACACACGTGGTGTATATATAATAACTAATATAAATATTCGTATTTTTCCGGTCGTCACATCTAATTTTCGTCTGTCTTTTTCTATGCACAATCCGATTCGGTTAGCAATAGCCATGGAAAAAATTGCAAAAAAAAAAATGGCGGCCACCGACACCACCACCACCGCCGCCGCCGCCGCCGGATCCGCCCATGGATGAAGCCGACGCCATCACAGCCGTTGGGAGGGCGCTGTCGCCGTCGAGGCCGACGGGGAGAGAGAGAGGGGGAGGGACGGCCGTCACCGCCGTCTCCGCCGCACCCCGCCGTCGCTGCGCCAAGCCGGCGAGACGGGTAGGAGAGGGGAAGAGGGAGCGCGGCCACCGCGAACGCCGTCGTCGCCGCCGTTGGGACGGCGCCGTCTCCGCCGAACCCCGCCGTTGCCGCGCCGAGCCGGCGAGAAGGGAGGGAGATGGGAAGGGAAGCGGCGCCGGTGGCGGGAGAGGCGGCTGACTGGGGGGAGGGGAAGAGACGGCGTCGGCGGCGCGACAGCGGATCTGCCGCGGGAGGGAGGCTAGAGGGCCGCCGCTTCCCCTCCCCCTCCCATCAGGCGGCGCCGCCCCCTCCCTCCCTCTCCCGCCTCTCCCCCTCCCCCCAGCCGCCCGCCTCCCCCGCCACCAGTCGCTGCCCGCGGTAGGGCAGGTATGCCGCCGCCTTGCCTCGGCCGCGAGATCACCGGTCGCCGCCGCCGCCGCCACTCGCCGACTTGCGGTGGGAGAGGGAGGAGAATGAGTTTGGGGGGGGGGGGGCGGGGGGGGGGGGGAGGGATGGGGAGGGTTAGGGTTAGGGTTAGGGTTTTGATAAGGCTGTGGGCCGACCGGGATGGAAATAAGTCTATTTTAGGTCCCTCGGGCTGGAAATAAGTCTATATTAGGTCCCTCGGGCCGAAAAAAAGAGAAGTTCATTTTTAGTGCTTCATTTTTTCAGAAGCATTTACAATTATAGTTATTGAATGTGTTTATTTCTAAGCAAACCTAAAAGGAAGGATTTTCTTTCTTTTTCCAATTAAATAATTATTAAATGATGTTTGTATTATTAAAATTAGCAATTAAGCTCTGAAAATTCCAATAAATTTCCAAAGAGCGTAACTAATCATGGAGAATTTAATAAAATTAAATTTAACAATGTCATTTTATTTCTCACACTTTACTTGTAAATTTATTTAATTATACACATACCTCCTTAAAAATACTAAATATTTCAGCGAATTTGTATTTTAATTAATTGCATATTTTTTCTGATACGTGCGCTTCCCGGTGCAATACACGGGTACTTTTGCTAAACCAAACAACAATTTTGGTCAATATACACACTCCGTAATCACCCGGTACAACGCACGGGCACTTTTGCTAGTACTATATACATACGTATAGAAGTAGTAGATTAGATACAGAGAGACTAGAGAAAGAGGGAGACTGATTGCGCGCGCGCCTCCCTGCGCGGCTGATCGCGTATCAGCCGTCCCGACGTTTGGTAGGGTAGCAATCCAAATTGGCCCACTGTCTCCTTTCCCCCTTCGGATCAAGGCTGACGGCGCCCCGGTCCAAGTTGCGCAGTGCGACGTGGGTCGGTGGGTGCGTGTGGCCCCGCTTGCAGCGTGCCGGCCCCCGGTCCTGCCTGTCTCGCCCGTTCCCCCTGCGCCGCCCCTCGCCGGCCCGCGCACGCGCCCAAGACGCACTTGGTGGTCCGCGTCGCGCTCGTCTCTCGCGTGCGCTGCGTCTCCCCTCCTACCCCTGATTCGCACGGAATTCCTCGAATCGCCCGTGAGATCCGCTTGATTCGATCTCCGATTCAGGCCCCGGGGTCTAGGGTTTTCGCCGCCGTTCGAGCGGAGCAGAGCGGGGCGTGGGAGATGGCGGGGAAGGGAGCCAAGGCGACGGCGGCCAAGTCGGCGGAGAAGGAAAAGGGGAAGAAGGCCCCCGTATCCCGCTCATCCCGCGCCGGGTCCCAGGTAAGTTCGACTGCTCATCCTCTCCCCGCCCCCGCTCGTCGCTTCTCCGTCGTTCGTGGTCGCTCAAGATTCGGTCCGCCTGCTGCCCCTTCCTGTGCATTTTGGTGTTCCCACAGGCGCCTTGGGTTCAGCTATTGCTCTTTCTACCGCTTTGGTTGGAATTGCGCGTTTTAGCTTGGTGAAATTTTCGGTTGGAGATTACAGTTGTTTGGGTCTTGGAAATTCGACCCACGGGAGATTTCAGGCTTTCAACAGATCTGGAAAACCATATGTTATGTCTGGTGCTATTATTTTTGGGCTGTGAGATTTGGTTTTCTCGCTTGGGTGCGAGAGGACCTGCACGGACTGGTGGGTTTCGGTAGGTTGTACTGTGGGTTTAGTTGTCTCAAATACTGTCCGAAATTCTGGGTGCTCGGCTTAGTATTCTCGTGTTGGAATCTCTGGAAATGGTAGTCTTATCAAATGAGCCTCCAGTTTCTTGTTCACTGTAACTTGTTATTTCTCGAGGTGGCAACATTTCAGGGATCTCAACATGGTTGGATGACCATTTAGGATACATTTTGCTCCCGCATAGACCAAAAGCTGATTTTGTCTTCATCTTGAATTCATTGTAGCAAGTTAATTTATTTGATAGTACCTCCCTTCGCTTCCTAGCACAAATGCACAATGCATATAGAGGTTTTCTCCCATCCCTGGGAAGTATTATATATATACCTCCCCACCACTTGAAAGGCACAAGACTTAAACCGGCTGAACTGATTAGAGCAAATGGATGTTTTCAGAAATGTCAGGTTTTAGGGTCCTTTGGGAGGTATATTGTGTACATAGTGTTGTTAATCAGGTGGTATATACCTTTTAGTAGAGGTATTATAACCTCATGACTAATGCTAAATACCTATACCTCGGACAAAAAGTCAGGAGCCAATGCAAATGTGAATTTCCTGTCCTATCCCCAGTTGTGATCACTACTGGGAGGTATAATACCCTCTCGCATATAACTAGAAGATTATAATAATCTGTTAATCTGCTCAATCATATGTAGGAGAAGCCAGCTCCAAACAAGGATGTTTACCAACTATTTGCTGAGAAGGTTAGGGATAACAAGCAGCTGGAATCAAGATGGGCAATTATGCAAGAAACTCGTGTTGAGTATTTCCGTGGAAAAGATTTTACTACCTTCATGAGGAATCATCCAGAAGTTAGGGAAATTTTAGGGCCAGATAAAGATTTAGAAGTGGAAGACATTGTTAACACTCTGCTGAGCAAGAACCTTGTGATAAGGTGTGACCGAGTTTGGAAAACTGTCAGACCAGGAAAGAAGAAATTGTCATCGTGGCCTGCACATTTGGAGATACATCGTGTAAGTACCACTGCTAATGAAGAACATTGTAGGTTGAACTTTCTGTTGATCTTGTTGATGTACTGTTGTATTTTTGATGATATAATGTTCCTAATATTTCTATTACCCTTATCCACAATAGTATTACATTTTTATGGCAATCACATCTTTGTTCTCTTGGCTTCAAGTGAAGGTTTTCTTGTGTCTTGGTGATTTCTGTTCTTGCTTTTAATTCCTATCATATTTATCCTGTATTTAGTTTGAAATTAGATAACGACTGTATCAGGTGAAACAATACATGTATCAACTAGCACATTTGCTCCATTTTGCATCGCTTTGAAGCTTTTTTTTTTTGTATCTTGCTTATTTTTGACCATGTAATAAACCAGTTATGCCTCGCAAATTCATTTTGCTTGAAAATAATGAGTGGTGATTTCATGATAGCCTTTTTTCAGGATACTATTATCCTCAGTAGTTCTAATGTGAGCTTGATTTATTCTTGCAGGAACAAGTGTTCACTGAGAATGATGGATTTTTTGCTTGGATGTTTCTCAAAAGGAGGACCTTGTGGCAAACGATTCTTTCATTTGTTTGGCCTCTCTTTGCTTTGGCAGTTTGCTTATTTCCAGTTTACCCATACCAATGCAAGATTGTGGTCTTGTACTCATGTGCTGGAGCTTTATTGTTCATTGTCTCTATTCTTTTGTGTAAGCACTTCTCTCTAACACTGTCTTTTATGCTAGAAATATTAGCACCATTAACTAATCAAGGTATTTTTTTTTCACGAGTACAAGACAGACAAAACAAAAAATAAGCTTATGCTCTCCCTAGTGTCTATTAATAATATGTACAATGCATGGATGCCCTTGTAGGCTTGTACTCGCATATGCTGTTACTGCGTTACCTATGATAAATGAGACATAATTTAGTACTCATGTAACTGCAATATTTTGCTATATCATTTTTGTAGTTGCATCATCATGTTCTGGAGTAAATTTTATTGGAGTTTATGTGCTGCTTTTAAGGACGTTTTGTGGCATTATCTAGTAGACCTAAAATTGCTTGTGAGCATGCAACGTTCTATTTGTATTTACTGTTTAGTAGTACAAACAACTACTGCAACAATGAGTAGGCTAAGCCTGTCTAGCAGTCTATCTCAAAATCATGCTTTTAGCTAAAAACTATTAATCGCTGACTATGTTTGACAGCTTGGGAGTGTGACAAAAATGTGATTTATATTTTTGTTAGACTGGTAGGTTTGAAAGCCTTGGAAAAATGATTACTAAATGACCTCTAAACCTTTGAGATATGCAATAATTCTTTGAAAAAAAGAGAGTAAAATGCACTAGTCATACCGCAACATGTGAGGTGTGTGCAATTTAGTCATTCAAACCTTGCAAATTGCTCAGAAAAGTCACTCATATTGTTTCAGGGGTGTAAATCACATCAAACACATGCCACGTGTGCTGTTTGCTTCCAACATGGATGATATGCTAGCCTAACATTGTGCGCTCATGAGCCACATGGGCATGGCAAGCTATAAAAATGCAAATAAGTCCGTTGTTTTTCGTGCAGCTGCTGCATGCACTCATGAGCTACATGCAGTTGCATGAAAAATACAGGACTAATCTGCAATTTTTAATTTTGTCTAAGCACCTAAACTTGTCCTGTCCAGGTGGCTCATGAGACATCATGTTAGGCTAGCATATTGTCCAACCTTGGTAGCGAACAGCCCAACATGTCATGTGTACGATGAGGTTTGCACCCCTGAATAAAAATGAGTGACTCACTTTAGTAATTTGCAAGATGAATGACTAAATTACACACTTCACAAGTTGTGGTACCACTAGTGCATCTAACTCCTTAAAAAAACTGTTGCTTGTGATGAAGTAGATTGTTGTTACTAGAAAATACTCCCTCCATTTCTAAATATTTGACATCGTTGACTTTTTAGCACATGTTTGACCGTTCGTCTTATTCAAAAACTTTTATGTAATATGTAAAACTATATGTATACATATAAGTATATTTAACAATGAATCAAATGATAGGAAAATAATTAATAATTACTTAAATTTTTTGAATAAGACGAACTGTCAAACATATTTAAAAAAGTCAATGGCGTCAAATATTTAGAAACGGAGGGAGTATATGTTAAGAGAATCTCATGACCAAAACATGACACCAATATATCTGAAATTGTGCTTCAATACCATCTTCATTTCAGTTCCTAACTACTACATGTTGGTAAAATACTTTACCAAATCTTGAATTCCGGTCGACCAAAAGATGTTCACCCTTTGTTTTTGGGGGAAAAACCAGTCAAAAGTATGGTTTCTTAAAAACAATAAATACTTTGTTGTGAGGTTTCTTTTCGTGAGAATTTCTTGATGGGAATGGAAAAAAAAGAGGGGATATGGGTTGTTATATTTCTTGTTTGTTTGGTGGCATGTGAAACAGTAGGATCTTGATAGCGGAATGTTTAGTCTGAATGTGTGATCCCTCTGAATCTCTTTGTTGAGGGCACCTTGGTGCTAAGGGGAACTATGAATCATACAAGTTCCATTCCACACAGAAAAGAGATTGGAACTAAAGTGAAACTTCTGTGCACAATCCCACCATCCAATTCATACATATATAATTTCTTGCTTGACCTGTTGCAAAACATCTTTATGAGCGATCACCATTTGCTAAGTGAACAATGAGGGTTGGCAAGTATTGATGGCTTGCCCTTATTATTGTTGGCTATTTTTCTGGTCCACTTTGTGCAATTTGGCCATGCAAGACCATAGCAACTGGTTAGTTACTGCAACTAGTGATTCTTCTAATCCTACTCAAGAAGAGGGAAATGCCCCAATACCCTGCCCTAGCTTTGACTGTGAGTTCATTCAAACTATTTTGTACGGTGGTTTTGCCTGCATGGCATGTTGACCACCAGACCACTAACTAAATAAAAAAAGTAAAGCAGGACTAGAGAGGCTGCAACGGGAATGACCAATCAATAAGCAAAGATGAAGCATAGGCCTGTCCATCTGTGTGCCTGCTGTAATTTTCTTATTTGGTTGGTGGTCGATTTTATTGCACGGTCATGTGTACAGGAAGAACCTAATTGGGTCTCAGTCCTTTTGACTGGTTTGATTTTCTTACTATACACAAGTAGAGCTTCAGATAAACAAATCCATCATATTTTTTGTTTGTTTGATGCAGTGTGTTAATATTCTTTTTTTTTTATCGGAAGAACACAAAGCTAGAGTGTTGGTAGTGTATACTTGCTATTCATACTGTTCTTTGTTGCACGTGACCACTGTATATGTAATTTTGACGCATACCGCTAGTATTGCTTAATTTGTTAAATAATTTTGGGAGTGATAATAAATTGTTGTTTTTGTCATGAATGACTTATTTATCTCTTTTTTTTGTTGGTTTTAGTTTTGACCAATCCTCTTTTTTTATGTTTCCAATGGTATTGCAGTAAGAGCTGCTATCTTTGGCATACTATGGGTACTCCTTGGGAAACGTGTGTGGTTCTTTCCAAATATAAATGCCGAAGAGACAACATTTAGAGAACTTGTTCGGTTTTGGCCCGAGAAGGATGAGGGAGAGCGACCAAAGTGGACATCAAGACTCTTCTATGCCACTGTTGCTGTATTGGTGATATTACTGCTCAGGCACCATGCTCCAGATGAAGCAGCTAGGGCAAGGTATGAAGTTCTGATTTTTGAGATTGCTTATAATACTATTTCAATTTTGAGTTAGCGAAATCAATGTGATTTGCACATTGTTATGTACAATGGGGAGTCATCTTTATGGTTTAGTTAGACTGATTTTGCTAGGACTACTTCATGTCAACAAATTGAGTGAATGATTTTTGGTTGGATGATTGCTATATCTCTTAAATTAGATTGAATGTTAGAAAATATAAATATTGTTTCCTAATTTTGTTAGGTGCTTATAGACCATTTGCAAAAGCAGAACTAATTAGTTGGGCATATAGTTTTGTCGATCTCTTAGAATGGGCAACATCTTGCATGAGCATGTACTGGATAACTGGTCAATGTTTCTAAATTCTAAATTCATAAATGCGAGCTAGCATAGGCACAATTTGAGCGCTCACCATAACACATGTCCCACAGGTGGTGTCGAGGCACTTTATTTTCCCCTGGATAATTTGATTTCTTGATCTAAGTGCTAAATTGAAGTCTTCCACAGCCCATTTCCAGCTGAGTCTCTTCCTAAAATTTTAAGTTCAAATGAACCCATTAGTGTTTGTCTCGTGGTACCTTACTTAGAAATACTGGATGCTTGTTCTAAGTTGTACTGACAGATTACCATCAATTACACACTCCGTGCACACCAACTAGGCCAATGTCACAGAAAATTCTAGAAAAATTTGACACATACTTCCAATAGTATTACATCTACGTGTAAAATCTTATCTTCAAATTCATTATATTTTAGCTGTAACAAAAAAGACAAAATCCTGACAGATTTTTACCCTTAAAACTGTTAGATTTTTCACTTTTTTGTTACGGCTAAAATATACTCCCTCCGTCCCACAATATAAGGGATTTTGAGTTTTTGCTTGCAACATTTGACCACTCGTCTTATTCAATTTTTTTTTGCAAATATAAAAAACGAAAAGTTGTGCTTAAAGTAATGTAGATAATAAAGTAAGTCAAATAAAATAAATAATAATTTTAAAAAATTTTAAATAAGACGAGTGGTCAAACATTGCAAACAAAAACTCAAAATCCCTTATATTATGGGATGGAGGGAGTAATGAATTTGAATATGAGACTTTGCAGATATGTGTAATACTATTAGGAGTAAATGTCCAATTTCTTATACTTCCTCCGTTTTACAATGTAAGTTGTTCTAGCATTTCCCATATTCATATTGATGTTAATGAATCTAGATAGATATATATGTCTAGATTCATTAACATCATTATGAATGTAGGAAATGCTAGAATGACTTGCATTGTGAAACGGAGGGAGTAGAATTTTTCGTGACATTTGCTAGTTGGTGTGCACGGAGTGTGCTGAAGCTTGTGTGCAAATGATATGTTCTCCATTCTATATCATATTCTATCAGTTGAGTAATCATTTCTCTTTTTTCCTGTTACTAGGTACCAGAAGAAGGTTTCGAACATAATTGATGATGTTCTTGAGTGGTCTCCAAAGTTAGCTTTGTCTGGGATGATGGAAAAACATACTGGGACTAATGCATCAGAAACTAGCAATCACACCAGTGGAACTGGGAGTAGTCCTGTCCCTCCCACTAATGAAGGGAATACCGCAAAAGCAGACCCAGATATGGATCGTCAGACGAACTCAGATAAAGTCCAAGATGGTGATGAGTATGGTGATGACATGAGAACAAGATTTAGTGAAGTTTAGAATCGACTTATAAACTCTAAAGCTCTGGTAATTTGGAGTACTTACCCTCGGGGATTTATCTGCAGAATCATATAGATAGGTTACTGACAAGTTCAAATTCAGGGTGCTCATGTTTTGACCATGTTTCATTCACATATTGCCAGCAATGGCTGTATTACGAGGTTCTCAAAGCATATTTTCGCATGGCTATGATGTAAACGTGCCTCGAGTTTGCCCGAGTTGAGAGGTTGAGAATGCAATGTGTCCGTGTCCGTGCGTGTGAGCCGTGTGCCACCGACACGTCCTGTGGCAGTGAGCCAATATGTCTTGCCTATCGTTCTGTGGCTGAGCCTCAGCAGGCTTGTTACATTCCTCACACTGATGACACCTTGATAAGCGCATATGCCCATTGTTCACATCCCTTGTCCCTTTTTTTTTTATGGGAACCGATTTCATTACTATGACGGCCCGGCCAGGAATAAGTTCATCCGAGGTCTCCCTTAATGTCACCGAATCTGATTTTCGTCCTTCAACCGGAAAACTACATCGGATCCCTCAACTATTAAAACCGGTGCAGATTAGGTCTCTCGGTGGTTTGGAAGGCGGTTTTCATTGACGTGATGTTTATGTGGCTGATTTGACTAGGTCTTTATCCTATGTGGCATTGATGTGGCGCTTACGTGGCAATTATATATCAGAAAAATAATAAAAATAGTGGCCCACATGTTAGCTACACACAAAAAATAACCTCCCTCACTCCTCTCTTCTTCCTTTCCCCTCTCTCTTCTCTCTCTCTTCTTTCCTGGCAGCGGACGGCACGGGTGGGTGGCGGAGCAGCCAAGCGAGGCAGGCTATCCGAGATCCAGCGGCGGCGGCTCGGCATGCGCCACGGCGGGGATGTGGGACTTGGCGAAAGGGAAGGAGGCGAGGCGACGGGAGCCTCGACCAGGGGAGAGGAGGCCGGCGGCGGGGTGGCCTTGGCCTTGGGCGGCGGCACGGGCGCCTTGGTGGGTGGCGCGGTGGCCGGAGCCGGGGTGGTGGGTGCCGAGGCGGGGGCCGGGGTGGCGGGGGGTGGTCGGCGCGGCGGCGGGCTTCTTCTTGGAGGAGACCGGTGGTGTGGTGGTCGGCTCCACCCGCCGTACCGGGAATCCATCTCGGAGGAGCTCCTCGAGAACATTGTCTCCCGCATCTCCCTCTGCGACGTCGTCCTCACCTCGGCGATCTCTCGTTCCTGGATCCACCGGTGGGAGTCTGCCCCTAATCTCCGCCACTAGTGGCCCCACCGCTTGCGCCCCGATCTGGAGCGGCGGTGCCTAGGTGGCCGTGGCGGGTTCCCTTCCACCACCAGCTCGCCCGAGTGGCTCCCCCAGCCTCCTCCCCTTCCCACCCCCGCGCCAGCATTGCACAGCGTGGGCGACTTGGCCGAGCCAGCGGACGAGGAGGACGACGACGACGTGGCTGCGGCGCCAGGCCGCAGCCGCAGCAATGACACCGTCGAGCCAAGATCTGCGAAAACATCACGCTTGGTGTCCGGCTTGTCCCTCCCGGCGGCATCGTCGAGAGCCAGCGCCGCGGATTCTGCGCCGACCTCGACCCCGACCACACGGTGGCTTCGGCGCCGAACTCGACTGCGCCGCGGCCGTCTTCGTCTGCGCCTTTGAGCTCTAGCGCACCGGTCGCTCTGCTCCACCTGCCACCCCTCTGCTCCGCCCGCTGCCCACCACCGCTCCGCCCACCGCCCCTCTGCTCCGCCCCTGCTCGCCCGTGCCACCATCGCAAGAGAGGAGAGGGGAGAGAGAGTTGAAGAGAGGGAGATGGGGAGAGAGGAGGAAGAAGAGTGGGTCAAGAATGACACGTGGGGCCCACGTGGGCCCTACTATTTTTTAATTAATTTATGTAAAACTGACATGTGGGTCCCATGAGGTTTATTATTTTTCCGGATCGAATGGCCACGTAAGCGCCACGTCGGTGCCACGTCAGATCAAGACCAAGTCAAATTAGCCTTGTAGGCGCCATGTCAGCCAAAACCGTCGAGGGACCTAATCTGCACCGGTTTAGATAGTTGAGGAACCTGTTGTATCTGTATCTGGTTTTGCGGTTGAAAAACGAAAATCGAATTCATTGACAAGTTAAAGGACCTTAGATGAACTTATTCCGCCCAGCCAAATCACTGGTCACCAAACACTCTAGACCAGGCGGGGTACTGGCCCAGCTAGGGGAGTTCTGCAAATTACAACCCAACGCTGCCAATTCGTGCGCAACCTTATTACATTCCGTGGGGCAGTAACGAACCGAGAAAGAAAGAAAGCAGCTGGAGATGACATTCTTAATCTCCAAAATCACACCCCCTAAAGCCGACAAATTAAAAGAATTCTCGTGGAGTGCCGTTTTAAGCATCATCGAGTCCGTTTCCAGCTCAACCTTCATCATTCGCGGGTACGAATTACACCACAAAACTATCATGTACGGTCGATCGAATTACTCCCCTAAACTCGAATACCGGATATTTTACAACGTCAACTATACAAACCGGACAAATAACCCCTCTAGCTCAATCCAAAGTAGTTTTAATCCTAAGTGGCTGTCCAATTAGCAAATTTTTTTTTTAAAAATAGTGTGGGCCCGACCTGTAAGTCTCCCTATCTATCTCTCTCCTCTCACCTCTCTCAATCTCTCTCTAGTCTCTACTCTCTCTTCCTCAATCCCGATTCACTCTCTCTCTTTCTCTCTCTTCTCCCTCCCTTTGCTGCAGCGAGCGGCGGCGGCCGACAGAGTCGGAGCTTGCACTCGCACGAAGGTGGCGACAACGGTGGTGGAGCCAAAGCTCGCATGAGTGGCTGGGGTGGCGAGGCGTGGCTGGATGGGCGCTCCGATCGGCGACAGGCGCTGCGACAAAAGGGGAACCAGTCGATGGTGAGCGGCGGTGGGTGTGGATGGGAGGGTGCTCCAGTCGGCAGCGCGTCGGGTCTAGGTGTCCTCTTCCTCCCCTCCAGGAGGCACAACTACGAGGCGAGCCACTCGACGAAGGAGCCGAGGTCAGGGCCAAGGAAGGCGTTGGCGTAGACGGTACAGTGGTGCGGCCCGAACTGCGCCGCCTGTTGGTATTTCTTACGACCACAGATAAATCCGCAAGCCCACGGAATACCGTTGTAACACTTCACCTTCGGATGACCCCAAAAGGATATCGAACTCAGAGAACGTGTGTACTCTACCTAATGCTAAGACTATCCAAGGATAACAACTACTGGTAGGCTATCTAGGCTAGAGAGGATTTTCTATGTGTTTTAATTATCTAAGCGAAGTTGAAAGTAATTTCCTATCTGTTGCTTCAGGCACCGACCCTTGTTGGTCTGCCAGTGTGGTTCCGGCTATAGCTTTATGATGTATCCGAACGTGGAGGATTACTATGACAGGATTTAGGGCTGTCACCACCTGCTGTCTACCTCTGACAAATCCGTGGGATACACAATAAACAATGGTAATCTCTAACCTAAACACCACGTTTAAGTTATTAATTACTACTCTAATACTTGCACATGAACTTCCTTCTTTATCCAGAGTCTTAGTAGTAGAGCACTTAGTACAAATACTAAATAATGAACCCGCAAAGATGAAAATCTATCTCACTTAGACTAAGTAATTAAATAAAAAAAAAGATCTCGAATGCTTACTTTATAGAAAAAGTTTCTTCGAACCCGGAGCAGAGTGTACTGATAGCTTCGGTACAACTCCAAAATTCTTCCTAGAAAGGTAAACTCATCGAGGTAGAAGTCGGAGAGAGCGCCAAACTTTCAGGCACTCCTCTAGAGCTTCCCCTCACTCTTTACCTATTTTCTAATGCACAAAAGATACAATAGAGCCTCTTGTAATTCAGCTCAAAGTTGTTTGTTGTGAAGTGAAGTGAGCTCCTCCTTTTATAGCCTCTATATGACGGTTACAGCTATGGGAAATGTCCTAAATGCTCTGCAACCGTCATTGGGATGTCATCAGCAGCGTACACGTGGAAAGCTAGGATCAAAGGTGCCAGTGGTGGTTTGGCCGAACCCTAGGCGCCACCTCCTGGCCTCTCCTTTGGCTAGGAGACCAGCTGGGGGACTCTGATGGCGGTTATGACAGTTATGACCCATTCCATGGTGGTTTCACCTGACTTGGGGGCACTTCAATCCGTGTACATGCGTCTGATTGGCCGGATGTATGTTTCCTTGTATGACGGTTGTGTTTTCTCCTTAAAATACCTGCATACACATATTTCACCAACACTAGTGGAGTTGATTAGTAATAATCCCTACCACTAAGTTGGATACCATATTTTATTTCATTATATGCAGGTATTGATGGTCAAATATTATGATTTATGGACCGTTAACAACACCCCCACACTTAACATTTGCTTGTCCCAAGTGAAGGCTATGGACTCTACAATAGAGTTATGACTTCCTTACTAATAATCATGTAAACAAATTATTCAAAGCCATACTTGTACTTGTGGGTCTTTGTAGTGTCTACCAGGCGATCTTGAGCAATTGAGAAATGTACCAATCACCCTAGCTTTTCATGAAGAACAACTTGAGTTTTTTTCAAGTAACACAAAATTTATAACTTTTCTTTGCTCCTCAGTTGATTCTCTCGATCACTCAAGGTGTATGATTCCTCACAAAGGCACATGATTGTGCCTTTTCTTTTCTTACCATCTAATAAGGCTTATGTGGAGTTCAGAGTATGGAAAAGAGTAGAGCATTACTTGCGTCACATATATTGTTAAGTCAAATAATGGACCCACGGAAATGCAAGACATACTTTCTTGTCAAGAAGTGCATGTGTATGTGTATGGCAAATTTGTGGGTTGAAAAAGGAAAATACTATTAATAATAATAACTCCTTTTGTATACCTCCTCCTCCATTTATTTTCTGTTTTGAAATTTTGGAGAGTGCATGGTTATCTTTTTTTTTCTCTTTGCCTTTTTTTCCTTTTGTCTCTCTTTTTTTTTTTCATGATATTGCTCTATACTTGTAGGCAAATTTTGCTACAGGACACCGTGACTTTGCAGTTTGTCATGGCTCATCACTTCTAGGGTGATCTTGCTTTGGTTACGGTGTTGATGTGCAAGATCACTCACACACTTGTCTTTGTACCTGGGATGCTTTATTGGACATAAAAAAACAAAGACAAGAGTGAAGCAAAAAGGACTCATTTGGTTGGAAGACCAGGAAGCCAACTTTATTTTATTTTATTTTACTTTATTTTTATTTTAATAGCTAGACCTAAGATAACTAGAGGGTGGCCTAACGACTCAGGCCATTGAAAACTAACGGATCAAGGGGG